TCAGTTTCCCCGGCTCCCAGAGGGAATTTGGGGCCTTTGGGGCTCTGGGGGGGTTTGGGGATGGGGATTTTTTTGGGGGGGACCCCGGGGGGGTTTTGGGACCCCGGGTGGGTTTTGGGGACCCCCCTGAGCCCCCCTTTGTGCCCCCCAGGGCCCTGGAGCTGGAGCTGGGTCTGGATTTCGGGCCGAGGGGGAATTCTCGTACCTGTACAGCCAATGCTGGGAGCTGGGCACCAGCGAGTACGGGGGGGACAGGGGGGATTGGGGGATTTGGGGGGTCCTGGGGGGGTTTGGGGGGTCCTGGGGGATTTTGGGGGGTCCTGGGGGATTTGGGGGGAATTTGGGGGGTGCTGGGGGGGTTTGGGGGGAATTTGGGGGGTCCTGGGGGGTTGGGGGGAGAATTGGGGGGTCCTGGGGGATTTGGGGGAATTTGGGGGAATTTGGGGGAGTTTGGGGGAATTTGGGGGGATTTGGGGGGGGATATGGGGGTCCTGGGGGGATTTTGGGGCAATTTAAGGGGATTTGGGGGATTTGGGGGGATTTGGGGGGTCCTGGGAATTTGGGGGGAGTTTGGGGAAGTTTGGGGGGAGTTTGGGGGAATTTAAGGGGGATTTGAAGGGGTTTGGGGGGATTTGGGGATGTTTGGGGGGAATTTGGGGAGATTTGAGGGAGTTTGGGGGATTTGGGGGGTCCTGGGGGGATTTGGGGGAATTTAAGGGGATCTGGGGGGGATTTGGGGGGTCCTGGGGGGATTTGGGGGGGATTTGAGGGAGTTTGGGGGATTTGGGGGGTCCTGGGGGGGATTGGGAAAGTTTGGGGGGGTTTGGGGGGGATTTGGGGAGATTTGGGGGGAATTTAAGGGGGGATTTGAAGGGGTTTGGGGGTTCCTGGGGGGGATTTGGGGGAATTTAAGGGGGATTTGGGGGAATTTGGGGAATTTAAGGGGTCCTGGGGGGATTTGAGGGAGGTTTGGGGGGAATTATTTGGGGGAGTTTTGGGGGGGGGGGGGATTTCAGGGAGTTTGGGGGGTCCTGGGAAGAGTTTGGGGGGGTTTGGGGGGGATTTGGGGAAGTTTGGGGGAATTTGGGGGGGATTTGGGGGGGTTTGAGGGGTCCTGAGGGGGATTTGGGGGAGGTTTGGGGGGATTTGGGAGGGATTTGGAGAAGTTTGGGGGGGGATTTGGGAGGACTTTTGGGGGGTTTCGGATGATTGGGGGGGATTTGGGGAAGTCTGGGGGCTCCTGGGGGCGTTTGGGGAGAGTTTGGGGGGAGTTTGGAGGATTTGGGGGAATTAAGGGGGATTTGGGGGGATTTGGGGGTCTTGGGGAAGTTTGGGGGATTTGGGGGGGTTTGGGGGGTCCTGGGGGGGATTGGAAAGTTTGGGGGGGTTTGGGGGGGATTTGGGGGGATTGGGGGGAATTGGGGGAGTTTGGGGGGATTTGGTGGAGATCTGGGGGAGTTTGGAGGGGATTGGGGGGGTTTGGGGGAATTTGGGGATCCTGGGGGGATTTGGAGGGGATTTGGGAAAGTTTGGGGGGGATTTGGGGGAGTTTGGGGGAGTTTAGGGAGGATTTGGGGAAATTTAAGGGGCATTTGGGGGGATTTGGGGGGTCCTGAGGGGATTTGGGGCAGTTTGGGGGGGATCTGGGGAGTCTGGGGTAATTTAGGGAGGATTTGAGGGGGGTTTGGGAGGATCTGGGGGGGATTTAGGGAAGTTTGGGGGTCCAGGGGGGATTTGGGGGAATTTAGGGGGGATTTGGGGGTTCCTGGGGGGAATTTGGGGGGGTTTGGGGGATTTTGGGAGGAGTTTGGGGGGGTTTCGGAGGATCTGGGGGGATTTTGGGGGAGTTTTGGGGCTCCTGGGGGGAGTTTGGGGCAATTTAAGGGGGATTTGGGGGAGATTTGGGGGGAGTTTGGGGGGATTTGGGGGTTCTTGGGGAAGTTTGGGGGATTTGGGGGGGCTTTGGGAGTCCTGGGGGGGTTTGGGGGAATTTTGGGGGAGTTTGGGGAATTTAAGGGGGATTTGGGGGGGTTTGGGGGGAATTTGGGGGAATTTAAGGGGTCCTGGGGGGATTTGAGGGAGGTTTGGGGGGAATTATTTGGGGGAGTTTTGGGGGGGGGGGGGGATTTCAGGGAGTTTGGGGGTCCTGGAAGAGTTTGGGGGGATTTGGTGGAGATCTGGGGAAGTTTGGGGGGATTTGGGAAGTTTGGGGGGAATTTGGGGGGGGTTTGAGGGGTCCTGAGGGGGATTTGGGGAGTTTAGGGGGATTTGGGGGAATTTGGGGAAGTTTGGGGGGGATTTGGGAGGATTTTGGGGGGGTTTCGGATGATTGGGGGGGATTTGGGAAGTTTGGGGGCTCCTGGGGGCGTTTGGGGAGAGTTGGGGGGAGTTTGGGAGGATTTGGGGGAATTAAGGGGGATTTGGGGGGGATTTGGGGGTCTTGGGGAAGTTTGGGGGATTTGGGGGGGTTTGGGGGGGTCCTGGGGGGAATTTGGGGGGTTTGGGGGGCTCCTGGGGGGGATTGGGAAAGTTTGGGGGGATTGGGGGGAATTTGGGAAAGTTTGGGGGGGATTTGAGGGAGGTTTGGGGGGAATTTGGGGAGTTTGGGGGATTTGGTGGAGATCTGGGGGAGTTTGGAGGGGATTTGGGGGGGGTTTGGGGGAATTGGGGGTCCTGGGGGGATTTGGAGGGGATTTGGGAAAGTTTGGGGGGTCCTGGGGGATTTGGGAGGATTTGGGGAATTTAAGGGGATCTGGGGGGGATTTGGGGGGTCCTGGGGTGATTTGGAGCAGTTTGGGGGGATCTGGGGGAGTCTGGGGGGATTTGGGGAGGATTTTGGGGGAATTTAAGGGGGATTTGGGGGAGTTTGAGGGGATATGGGGGGTCCTGGGGGAATTTAGGGAGGATTTGAGGGGGTTTGGGAGGATCTGGGGGGGATTTAGGGAAGTTTGGGGGCATTTGAGGGGAATTTGGGGGTGATTTGGGGGATCCTGGGGGGATTTGGGGAAGATTTGGGGGGAATTTGGGGGGGATTTGGGAGGATTTGAGGGAGTTTGGGGGATCTGAGGGGAATTTGGGGGTCCTGGGGGGAGTTTGGGGGATTTAGGGGGGATTTGGGGAGTTTGGGGGGGTTTGGGGGCGGATTTGGGGCAATTTAAGGGGATTTGGGGGGATTTAGAGGAGTTTAGGGGATCTTGGGGGGACTTGGGGGGGTCCTGGGGGGAATTTGGGGGAGTTTGGGAGGATTTGGGGAATTTAAGGGGGATTTTTGGGGGTCCTTGGGGGGGTCCTTGGAGGATTTGGGTCTGGGGGGGATTTGGGGTCTGGGGATATTTTGGGGAGGGGTCCCTGTGGCTTTGGGGCCATTTTTGGGGTCATTTTTGGGGCCATTTGGGGCCATTTGGGGCCATTTTTGGGGCCATTTTTGGGGCCATTTGGGGCCATTTTTGGGTCATTTGGGGCCATTTTTGGGGTCATTTTTGGGGTCATTTGGGGCCATTTTTGGGTTTTTTCCCCCCCCCCAGGTACCTGTACCGGCTCTGCCCCTTCCAGCGCGTGACCCAGAGACCCAAAAACGGCGGCGCCGAGACAGCCTGGGGTAGGGCACCCCAAAAACACCCAAAATCCACCAAATACCCAAAAAAACCCCAAAACAACCCCAAAATACCCAAAATCACAACAAAATACCCCAAAATCACAAAAAAACCACCCCAAAATACCCCAAAAACACAACAAAACCACCCCAAAATCACCCCAAAATCACCCCAAAATCCCCCAAAATACCCCCAAAAAACACCCAAAATCACCCCAAAATCACCCCAAAATCCACCAAAATGACAAAAAAAGCACCCAAAATATCCCAAAATCACTCCAAAATAAACGCAAAATACCCACAAATACCCCAAAATCACAACAAAACACCCCAAAACCACCCCAAATACCCCCAAAACCACCCCAAAATCACAACAAAATATCCCAAAACCACCCCAAAATACGCCAAAATCACCCCAAAAAACCACCCAAAATCACCCCAAAATCACCCAAAAAACCACACAAAATCACCCAAAAATCAGCCCAAAACACCTCAAAACCACCCCAAAATACTCCAAAACACCCCAAAATCACCCCAAAAACCCCCAAAATACCCCAAAATCACAACAAAACACCCCAAACACCCCAAATCACCCCAAAACCACCCCAAAATACCCACAAAATCACCCCAAAATAAACCAAAATACCCCAAAACCACCCAAAATCACCCCAAAACCACCCAAATCACCCCAAAATACTCACAAATACCCCAAAATCACCCCAAAATCACCCCAAAACAGCCCCAAAACCACCCCAAAAACCCCCCAAATACCCCAAAATCACAACAAAATACCCCAAAATACCCCTAAATCACCCCAAAACCGCCCCAAAATCCACCAAAATCACCCCTAAAAACCACCCCAAAATCACCCCAAAAACCACCCCAAAATACTCCAAAATACCCCAAAATCACCCCAAAATTCCCCTGGGGACCCAAAAAACCCCAAAATCACCCCAAAATCACCCCAAACCCCACCCTGGGGACCCAAAAAACCCCCTGAGAACCCCAAAATCACCCCAAAATAACCCCAAAACCCCCCTGAGAACCCCAAAAATTCCACCGGGGCCCCCAAAATAACCCAAAAATCACCTTGGGGACCCCAAAATCACCCCAAAAACCGCCCTGGGGACCCCAAAAATCGCCCTGGGGACCCCAAAATCCCCACCCCAAACCCCCAAATCTCCCTGGGGATCCCCAAATTTGGCCCGGACCCCCCAAAATTCCCCTTGGGGAGCCCCAACCTCCCCCAGCGTGGCCTCAGAGCTCGGCCCTGAGCGCCCCAAAACCGCCCCTGGCCCCGCCCCCTGGGTCATGTGACTGCCTTGGCTCCTCCCCCTTGGTGTCATGTGACCCCTGGCCACGCCCCCTGGTGTCACGTGACCTCACCTGGCCCTCCCCCGCAGGCTCTGGGGCTCCTGGGCGGGGCCCGAAGGCGACAAATTCGGGGCCCAGAAATACGAGGGGGGCACCGGGTGCTGGCAGGGACCCAACCGGGCCACAACGGTGAGTGACGTCATCATGGGGGAGGGGCCACGGCTGGGTGACGTCATCATCGTCGGGGGAGGGGCCACGGCTGGGTGACGTCATCATCATCGGGGGTGGGGCCACGGATGGGTGACGTCATCATCATCGGGGGTGGGGTCACAGCTGAGTGACGTCATCATCGGGGGAGGGGTCACAGCTGAGTGACGTCATCATCGGGGTGGGGCCACAGCTGAGTGACGTCATCATCGGGGTGGGTCATACCTGAGTGACGTCATCATCGGGGTGGGTCATACCTGAGTGACGTCATCATCGGGGTGGGTCATACCTGAGTGACGTCATCATCGGGGGTCACACATGAGTGATGTCATCACGGGGGGGGGGTCACAGCTGAGTGACGTCATCATAAGGGGGGGGGTCACACCTGAGTGATGTCATCATCAGGGGTCACATCTGAGTGACGTCATCGTGGGGGGGTCACACCTGAGTGACGTCATCATCAGGGGTCACATCTGAGTGACGTCATCGTGGGGGGGTCACACCTGAGTGACGTCATCATTGGGAGTCTTCTGAGTGATGTCATCATTAGGGGTTACAGCTGAGTGACGTCATCAGGGTCACACCTGTGTGACGTCATCATTGGGGTCACCTGTCATTACCTGTGTGGTGTCACCTGTGCCACCAAAACCCGCCCCAAACCCAGGGGCTGCTGACCAGGGGTGTCACCGGAGTGTCACCTGTGTGACATCACCCGTGTGACGTCACCTGTGTGACATCACCTGTGTGACGTCACCTGTGTGTCCTGTGCCACCTCATCTGTGTCTCAGCTGTGTCCCCTGGTTGTCAGGTGTGTCCCTAAAGGTCACCTGAGCCCCTGCAATGTCCCCAGCCCTCCTGTCCCTGTTCCCCCCCCAGGTTTGTCCCAGCTGTCCCAGGTGTCCCCATCCCCTCCCCAGGTGTGACCCAGGTGTGTCCCTGTCCCTCCCAGCTGTCTCAGGTGTCCCCATTGTCCCCAGGTGCAGCTCAGGTGTGTCCCAGTTGTCCCCAGGTGTCTCAGGTGTCCCCCATTGTCCCCATTGTCCCCATTGTCCCCAGGTGCGGCTCAGGTGTCTCAGGTGTCCCCATTGTCCCCAGCTGTGTCCCAGGTGTCCCTCTCAGGTGTCCCCGTTGTCCCCAGGTGCGGCTCAGGTGTGTCCCAGTTGTCCCAGGTGTCCCAGGTGTCCCTCTCAGGTGTCCCCATTGTCCCCATTGTCCCCAGGTGTCTCAGGTGTCCCCATTGTCCCCGTTGTCCCCAGGTGCGGCTCAGGTGTGCCCCAGGTGTCTCAGGTGTCCCTCATTGTCCCGTTGTCCCCATTGTCCCCATTGTCCCCAGGTGTGTCCCTAGGTGTGTCCCCAGGTGTCCCCAGGTGTGTCTCAGTGTGTCCCCATTGTCCCCATTGTCCCAGTTGTCCCCAGGTGCGGCTCAGGTGTGGCCCCAGTTGTCCCAGGTGTCTCAGGTGTCCCCATTGTCCCCAGCTGTGTCCCAGGTGTCTCAGGTGTCCCCATTGTCCCAGGTGCGGCTCAGGTGTCCCCAGGTGTCCCCATTGTCCCCATTGTCCCCATTGTCCCCATTGTCCCCAGGTGCGGCTCAGGTGTCCCAGGTGTCCCAGGTGTCCCCATTGTCCCCAGGTGTCCCAGGTGTCCCTCTCAGGTGTCCCCATTGTCCCAGGTGTGGCTCAGGTGTGTCCCAGTTGTCCCCAGGTGTGTCCCCATTGTCCCCAGCTGTGTCCCAGGTGTCTCAGGTGTCCCCGTTGTCCCCAGCTGTGGCTCAGGTGTGTCCCCAGGTGTGTCCCCATTGTCCCCATTGTCCCAGGTGCGGCTCAGGTGTGTCCCCAGCTGTGTCCCCAGCTGTGTCCCCAGCTGTGTCCCCAGGTGTCCCTCTCAGGTGTCCCCATTGTCCCCAGGTGTGTCTCAGGTGTGTCCCCATTGTCCCCCATTGTCCCCATTGTCCCCAGGTGCGGCTCAGGTGTGTCCCAGGTGTCTCAGGTGTCCCCAGGTGGTGTCCCAGGTGTCTCAGGTGTCCCTCTCAGGTGTCCCCATTGTCCCCAGGTGCGGCTCAGGTGTGGCCCCTCCACGGCGCTGGCGGCGGCGTCGGAGCCGAGTCGCTGCGAGTACCTGCTGGAGCTGGAGACACCCGCGGCCTGCAGGGAGCAACCGGCGCTGCACGAGGAGCACGATGAGCTCTGAGACACCCAAAATGGCCCAAAATCACCCCAAAAATAACCTGAAATATCCTGAAATTATCCCATAAAATACCCACAAAATATCCCAAAAACCAGTTCAGAATTATCCCAAAATGCCCCAACCTGCAGGGAGCAACCGGCGCTGCACGAGGAGCACGACGAGCTCTGAGAGACCCAAAACGGCCCAAAATATCCCCAAAAATATCCTGAAAATGTCCTGAAAATATCCCTGAAAATGTCCTGAAAATATCCCTGAAAATGTCCTGAAAAATCCAAAAAATGTCCAAAAAATATCCAGAGAAATCTCCCCAAACCTGCAGGGAACCCCCGGCCCTGCACGAGGAGCACGACGAGCTCTGAGAGAGCCAAAACGGCCCAAAATCACCCCAAAAATGTCCTGAAAATATCCAAAAATATTCCTAAAATATCACAAAAATATCCCAAAAATGCCCCAAATCCTGCAGGGAGCAACCGGCACTGCACGAGGAGCACGACGAGCTCTGAGAGACCCAAAACGGCCCAAAATCACCCCAAAAATAGCCTGAAAATATCCTGAAAATATCCCCAAATTATCCTGAAATTATCCTGAATTTGTCACCCAAAATATCACAAAAATATCACAAAAATATCCAAGAAATCTCCCCAAAAATGCCCCAAATCTGCAGGGAGCAGCCGGCGCTGCACAAGGAGCACGACGAGCTCTGAGAGACCCAAAATGGCCCAAGAATATCCCCAAAAATAGCCTGAAAATGTCCCCAAATTATCCTGAAAATATCACAAAATTATCCCAAAAAATATCCCAAAAATATCCAGAGAAATCTCCCCAAACCTGCAGGGAGCAACCGGCGCTGCACGAGGAGCACGACGAGCTCTGAGACACCCAAAATAGCCCAAAATCACCCCAAAAATAGCCTGAAAATGTCCCCAAATTATCCTGAAAATATCACAAAAATATCCCAAAAATGCCCCAAATCCTGCAGGGAGCAGCCGGCGCCGCACGAGGAGCACGACGAGCTCTGAGACACCCAAAATGGCCCAAAATATCCCAAAAATAGCCTGAAAATGTCCCCAAAATGTCCTGAAAAATATCCCAAAATATCCACAAAAATCTCCCCAAAAATGCCCCCAAATCTGCAGGGAGCAACCGGCGCTGCACGAGGAGCACGATGAGCTCTGAGACACCCAAAACGGCCCAAAATATCCCCAAAAATAGCCTGAAAATATCCTGAAAATATCCCCAAATTATCCTGAAATTATCCTGAATTTGTCACCCAAAATATCACAAAAATATCACAAAATATCCAAGAAATCTCCCCAAAAATGCCCCAAATCTGCAGGGAGCAGCCGGCGCTGCACAAGGAGCACGATGAGCTCTGACACACCCAAAATGGCCCAAAATATCCCCAAAAATAGCCCTGAAAATGTCCCCAAATTATCCTGAAAATATCTCAAAAATAGCCCTAAAATATCCTAAAAATCACCCCAAATTGTCCCCAAAATATCCTGAAAATCCCCCAAAATACCCCTGAATTATCCCCAAAATATCCCAAAATGCCTCAAAAAACCTCCAAAAATCCCCCCAAAAAATCCCAAAAAAACCCAAAATCCCCCCAAAAAACCCAAAATCTCCCTAAAACCCCCAAAATTTCCCCAAAAAAACCCCAAAATCTCCCTAAAAAAACCCAAAATCTCCCTAAAAACCCCAAAATCTCCCCAAAAAACCCCAAAATCTCCCTAAAAAAACCTAAAATCCCCCAAAGAATCCCAAAATCCCCCCTGTGCCTCAGTTTCCCTTTCCTCAGAATCCCGATTTTGGGGGATTTTTCCCAAATTTGAGGGATTTTTCCCAAATTTTGGGGGATTTGTCCCTGAATTTGGTTTTTTTTTTTTTTCCAATTTTTGGGGGATTTTTCCCCTGAATTTTGGGGGATTTTCCCACAATTTGAGGGATTTTCCCCAAATTTTGAGGGATTTTTCCCCTAAATTTTGGGGGATTTTTCCCCTGAATTTTGAGGGATTTTCCCCAAATTTTGGGGGTTTTGTCTCAAATTTTGAGGGATTTTTCTCGAATTTTGGGAGATTTTTTCCAAATTTTGGGGGATTTTTCCCCTGAATTTTGAGGGATTTTCCCCAAATTTTGGGGGTTTTGTCCCAATTTTGAGGGATTTTTCTCGAATTTTGGGAGATTTTTTCCAAATTTTGGGGGATTTTTCCCCTGAATTTTGGGATTTTTCCCCTAAATTTTGGGGGGTTTTCCCCAAATTTTGGGGTTTTTTCCCTGCCTCAGTTTCCCTCTCCCCCAAGGACCATCCCAAACTCCCAAATCTTGGAATTTTGAGATGGGGAATGGCCCAAAATCCCTCAAAAAAAAACCCCCCAAAAAAAACACTTGGAAAAGGGGGGGGAAAAATCCCAAAACTGGGGTTAAAAATAAAAACTTTTAAAAATCAAAATGAAAACTTTATTGGGAATAAAAGTGGGAAAAAACCAAACTGGGATTAAAAATAAATAAAAATAAAAATAAAACTTAATTTGGGAATAAAAGGGGAATAGAAAAAGTCCAAACCAGGATTAAAAATAAAAATAAAAACTTTATTTGGGTATAAAAATCCCCCAAATTTTGGGGATTTTGGGGTCACGGGCGTCACTGTCGTTCCATGGTTGGGAATTCTGGAATTCCTGAGGGAATTTTTCCCCAAAAATCCCAAATTTTGGGATATTTTTGGGGGCTTTTAGTGTCACACTGGGGTTGGGATTCCTGAATTCCTGTGGGGATTTTTCCCCCAAAAATCCCAAATTTTGGGGATGGTTTTGGGGGACTTTTAGTGTCACACTGGGGTTGGGAATTCTGGGATTCCTGAGGGAATTTTTCCCCAAAAATCCCAAATTTCGGGGGACTCCGGGGGGTCTGGGTGTCATGCCAGGGATTGAGAATTCTGGAATTCCTGAGGGAATTTTCCCCAAAAATTCCAAATTTTGGGGGGCTCCAGGTGTCGTGCTGAGGTTGGGAATTCTGGGATTCTTGTGGGAATTCCTCCCCATTTTCCCAAATTTTGGGGATTTCGGGGTCAGAGCTCATCCCGGGCGTTGCTGTCATTCCATGGTTGGGAATTCTGGAATTCCTATGGGAATTTTCCCCAAAAATCCCAATTTTGGGGATATTTTTGGGGGGCTTTTGGTGTCCTACCATGGTTGGGAATTCCAGAATTCCCATGGGATTTCCTGCCATTTTCCCAAATTTTGGGGATTCCGGGATCAGAGCTCATCACGGGCGTCGCCGTTGTTCCACGGTTGGGAATTCTGGGATTCCGGAGGGAATTTTCCCCCAAAAATCCCAAATTTTGGGAATGTTTTTGGGGGCTTTTAGTGTCACACTGGGGTTGGGATTCCTGTGGGAATTTTTCCCCCCAAAATCCCAAATTTTGGGGATATTTTTGGGGGGCTCTTGGTGCCCTACCATGGTTGGGAATTCCGGGATTCCTGAGGGAACTTTCCCAAAAATCCCAAATTTTGGGGATTCCGGGGTCAGAGCTCGTCGCGGGCGTCGCCGTCATTCCATGGTTGGGAATCCTGGGATTCCCTTGGGAATTCCTGGTCCCCGCCCCCGTCCCGGATTCCGGGGGGCTCCGGGGGGCTCCAGGGTTGGGAATCCGGGGGTTCCCATGGGAATTCCTCGTTCCCAGGGTCCCCGCCCGGGGCTCTCTCGGGGCCGCTCTCGGTGTCGCTGACGTAGCCGGGCTCCCCCGTGTAGTGCGTGGGGAAGAGCAGCAGCGGCTCCGCCGAGAACGCCAGCAGGTCCCGGCGGGAAAAGTGCCGGGAGTACTCGGGGCTGGGGGGAAAAATGGGGGGAAAAAATGGGGGGAAATGGTGAAAAATGGGGAATAATGGGGGGAAATGGGGGGGAAAATGGGGAATAATGGGGGGAATAATGGGGGAGAGATCTGGGAGAAGTGCTGGGAGTACTTGGGGCTGGGGAGAAAATGGGGGGAAAAATGGGGGAAAATGAGAAAAATGGGGGAAAATGGGGGAAAATGGGGGGAAATGGGGGAAAATGGTGAAAAATGGGGGGAAATGGGGGAAAAGAGGTGAGAGATCAGGGAGAAGTGCCGGGAGTACTCGGGGCTGGGCGGAAAAATGGGGGAAAATGGGGGGAAATGGTGAAAAATGGGGAATAATGGGGGAAATGGGGGAAAATGGGGGAAAATGGGGAATAATGGGGGGAAATGGGGGAGAAATGGGTTAAAATGGGGGGGAATGGGAAAAACGGGGGAAATGGAGAAAATGGGGGAAAATGGGAAAAATGGGGGAAATGGAGAAAATGGGGGAATAATGGGGGGAAATGGGGAAAATGGGGAATAATGGGGGAAAATGGGGGGAAATGGGGGGGAAATGGGTTAAAATGGGGGGGAATTGGGGGGAAATGGGGGGAAATGGGGAAAAATGGGGGGAAATGGAGAAAATGGGGGGAAATGGGGGAAATGGGAAAAACGGGGGAAATGGGGAAAATGGGGGAAATGGGGAAAAATGGTGGGGGAAATGGGGGGAAATGGGGGGAATGGGAAAATGGGGGAAATGGGGAAAAATGAGGGGAAAATGGGGAAAAACGGGGGAAATGGGGAAAATGGGGGGAAATGGGGGAAAAATGGTGGGGGAAATGGGGGGGAATGGGAAAATGGGGGGAAATGGGGAAAAACGGGGGGGAAAGGGGGGAAACGGGGGGGAAATGGGAAAATGGGGGAAAAGAGGCGAGAGATCTGGGAGAAGTGTTGGGAGTACTTGGGGGGAAATGGGGAGAAAATGGGGAAAACGGTGAAAAATGGGGGAAAAATGGGTTAAAATGGGGAAAAATGGGGAAATGGGGGGGGTGGGGGAAATGGGGAAAATGGGGGGGAAATGGGGAAAAAATGGGGGGAAATGGGGGGAAAATGGGGGGAAATGGGGGAAAATGGGGAGAAATGGGAACATGGGATGCCAGCTGAACATGAGGGGCAGGAACTCGTCCTTGTATCCCATAAACCCCATTTATCCCATAAATCCCATAAACCCCAAACCCCACCAATCCCATAAACCTGGTACCTGGGGTGTCGGTCGAATATGAGGGGCAGGAACTCGTCCTTGTATCCCATAAATCCCATTTATCCCATAAATCCCATTTATCCCACAAACCCCACAAATCCCTGACCCCAAACCCGGTACTGGGGTGCCGGTCGAACATGAGGGGCAGGAACTCGTCCCTATATCCCATAAATCCTATTTATCCCATAAATCCCACAAACCCCACAAATCCCTGACCCCAAACCCCATAAACCCCACAAATCCCATAAGTCCAGTACCTGGGGTGCCGGTCGAACATGAGGGGCAGGAACTCGTCCTTGTATCCCATAAATCCCATTTATCCCATGAACCCCACCAATCCCATAAATCCAGTACCTGGGGTGCCGGTCGAACATGAGGGGCAGGAACTCGTCCTTGTATCCCATAAACCCCCAACCCCACAAATCCCATAAACCCGGTACCTGGGGTGCCGGTCGAACATGAGGGGCAGGAACTCGTCCACGGGGATCATCTTGCCCAGGGGCTCGGCCGCCAGCAGCTTGCGGGCGCCGCGCAGGGACAGCGCGTAGCCCAGGCTCCAGTAGGAGTAGCCCGGGCGCAGCAGCTGCCGCACGCCCGGCACGCCGCGCTCCGAGCGCTCCGGCTCCAGGCGCTTCCGGCCCAGGTAGCTGCCAACAGCGGGGTCAGCGGGGTCAATGACATGAATGGGGTCATTGGGTCAGTGAGGTCATGGGGGGCAATGACATGAACGGGGTCATGGGGGGCAATGACATGAATGGGGTCAGCGGTGGGATTGGGGTCAGCGGGGTCAGTGGGGTCAATGACATGAATGGGGTCAGTGGGGTCAGTGGGGTCAGCAGGGTCAATGACATGAATGGGGTCATTGCGTCAATGGAATGATTGGGATGATTGAGGACAATGGGGTCATTGGGATCAATGGAGTCAATGGGGTCATTGGGATCAATGCGATGAATGAGATCAATGGGATCAATGCAGTCAATGGGGTCACGGGGGTCAATGGGATGATTGGGGTCAATGGGATCAATGGGATGATTGCGATCAATGAGGTCAATGGCGTCATTGGGGTCAATGGAGTCAATGGGGTTGTTGGGATCAATGGAATAATTGGGATGAATATGATGATTGAGGTCAATGGGTCATGGGGGGCAATGACATGAACAGGGTCATTGGGGTCAATGGGATCAATGGAATGATTGGGATGATTGAGGCCAATAGGGTCATTGGGGTCAATGGAATGATTGGGATGATTGGGATGAATGAGGTCAAGGGGTCATTGGGATCAGTGGGATGATTGCGATCAATGAGGTCATTGGGGTCAATGGAGTCAATGGGGTTGTTGGGATCAATGGAATAATTGGGATGAATGGGATGATTGAGGTCAATGGGGTCATTGGGATCAATGGAGTCAATGGGGTCATTGGTATCATTGTTATGAATGAGATCATCGGGATCAATGGGGTCAATGGACTCAATGGGGTCATTGGGGTCAATGGGATGATTGGATGATTGAGGACAATGGGGTCATTGGATCAATGGAGTCAATGGGGTCATTGGGATCAATGCGATGAATGAGATCAATGGGATCAATGCAGTCAATGGGGTCACGGGGGTCAATGGGTCATTGGGATCAATGGGATGATTGCGATCAATGAAGTCAGTGGGGTCATTGGTATCATTGTTATGAATGAGATCAATGGGATCAATGCAGTCAATGGGGTCATTGGGGTCAATGGAATGATTGGGATGAATGAGGTCAATGGGGACATTGGGATCGGTGGAGTCAATGGGGTCATTGGGATCAATGGGATGATAGCAATCAATGGGGTCAATGGCGTCATTGGGGTCAATGAGTCAATGGGGTTGTTGGGATCAATGGAATAATTGGGATGAATGGGATGATTGAGGTCAATGGGGTCATTGGTATCATTGTTATGAATGAGATCATCGGGATCAATGGGGTCAATGGACTCAATGGGGTCATTGGGGTCAATGGGATGATTGGGATGATTGAGGACAATGGGGTCATTGGATCAATGCGATGAATGAGATCAATGGGATCAATGCAGTCAATGGGGTCACGGGGGTCAATGGGGTCATTGGGATCAATGGGATGATTGCGATCAATGAAGTCAGTGGGGTCATTGGTATCATTGTTATGAATGAGATCAATGGGATCAATGCAGTCAATGGGGTCATTGGGGTCAATGGAATGATTGGGATGAATGAGGTCAATGGGGTCATTGGGATCAATGGGATGATAGCAATCAATGGGGTCAATGGCGTCATTGGGGTCAATGGAGTCAATGGGGTTGTTGGGATCAATGGAATAATTGGGATGAATGGGATGATTGAGGTCAATGGGGTCATTGGGATCAATGGAGTCAATGGGGTCATTGGTATCATTGTTAGGAATGAGATCAATGGGATCAATAGGGGTCATTGTTATGAATGAGATCAATGAGACCAATGGGGTCACTGGGGTCAATGGGGTCATCAGGATCAATGGTGCCATTGATCATTGGGATGAATGAGATCCATGTGGTCAATGGGGTCAATGGCATCATTGGGATCAATGGGATCAATGGCACCAATGCAGTCAATGGGATCAATGAGATCAGTGGGATTTGGATCATTGCTGTCAATGGGATCAATGGGATCAATGGGGTCATTGGGATCAATGGGGTTAATGGGGTCAATGAGATCAATGGGGTCATTGGGATCAATGGGGTCAATGGAATGAATGAGATCAATGGGATAACCGGGGTTCATGGGGTCACTGGGATCAATGGGGTCATTGGGATCAATGGGATCCAAGAGGGCCTCGGGAAATGGGGCGCAGTGGGTGAGGATGAGGATGATGAGGGGATGATGATGAAGGCTCACATGAGGTCCCAGGGGATTTGGTTGGGATGAGAATGGGGATGAGGATGACAAGGATGAGGAGGATGAGGATGATGAGGATGATGATGAAGGCCCACATGAGGTCCCAGGGGATTTGGGTCGGGATGAGGATGGGGATGAGGATGATGATGATGATGAAGGCTCATATGAGGTCCCAGGGATTTGGGCCAGGATGAGGATGGGGATGGGTATGAGGGTGATGAGGAAGATGATGATGATGAAGGCTCACATGAGGTGCCAGGGGATTTGGGCCGGGATGAAGATGGGGATGAGGATGAGGATCGGGATGGGATGAGGATGGGGATGGGGATGATGATGATGATGAGGGTGATGATGATGAAGGCTCACATGAGGTGCCAGGGGATTTGGGCCGGGATGAGGATGAGGATGGGGATGAGGATGATGAGGATGAGGGTGATGAGGGTGAGGATGAGGGTGATGATGAAGGCTCACATGAGGTCCCAGGGGATTTGGGTCGGGATGAGGGTGAGGATGAGGATGATGAGGGTGAGGATGAGGGTGATGATGATGAAGGCTCACATGAGGTGCCAGGGGATTTGGGCTGGGATGAGGATCGGGATGAGGATGGGGATTGGGATGAGGATGATGAGGGTGATGAGGGTGAGGATGAGGATGATGATGATGAAGGCTCACATGAGGTCCCAGTCGATGGCCGCCCGCTCCAGCTGCTCCATCAGCTCCGTCAGGCGGCTGCGGAAGAAAACCTCGAAGCGCAGATCGTCCTCAAACACCAGCGAGCGCTGCAGGCCCCGCGCCGAGATCTGGGAATGTGGGAATGAGCACGGGAATGCGAATGGAGCACGGGGATGGGGATGGAGCATGGGAATGTGGGAATGGGAATGGAGCACGGGAATGTGGGAATGGGGATGGAGCATGGGAATGGGGATGGAGCACGGGGATGGAGCACAGGAATGTGGGAATGGGAATGGAGCATGGGAATGGGGATGGAGCATGGGAATGTGGGAATGGAGCATGGGAATGTGGGGATGGGAGCACGGGAATGGAGCATGGGAATGGGGATGGAGCATGGGAATGTGGGGATGGAGCACAGGAATGTGGGAATGGGAATGAGCACGGGAATGGGAATGGAGCACGGGGATGTGGGAATGGAGCACGGGGATGGGGATGGAGCACGGGAATGGGAATGGAGCATGGGAATGTGGGGATGGGAATGTGGGGATGGGAATGGAGCACGGGAATGTGGGGATGGAGCACGGGAATGAGCACGGGAATGGAGCATGGGAATGGAGCACAGGGATGAGCACCGGAATGTGGGGATGGAGCACGGGAATGGAGCATTGGGAATGGAGCACGGGAATGAACACGGGAATGTGGGGATGGAGCACGGGGATGTGGGGATGGGAATGGAGCATGGGAATGGAGCACGGGGATGAGCACGGGAATGTGGGAATGGAGCACGGGAATGGGGATGGAGCACGGGAATGAGCAAGGGAATGGAGCATGGGAATGGAGCATGGGAATGTGGGGATGGAGCACGGAATGGGAATGGAGCACGGGAATGGAGCACGGGGATGAGCACGGGAATGTGGGGATGGGAATGTGGGAATGGAGCACGGAATGCCAGGAATGCGAGAATGGAGCACGGGAATGAGCACGGGAATGGGAATGGAGCACGGGAATGGGAATGGAGCACGGGGATGGAGCACGGGAATGGGGATGGAGCATGGGAATGAGCACGGGAATGTGGGGATGAGCACGGGAATTGCGAACGGGGATGGGAATGGAGCATGGGGATGGAGCATGGGAATGGAGCACGGGAACGGAGCCCAGGAATGCTGGGGATGGAGCCTGGGAATGCCGGGGAATTCCAGGGATTTGGGATGGAGCCCGGGAATTCCAGGGGTTCCAGGGAATTGGGATGGACCCAGGAATTCTGGGATTTGGGATGGAGCCTGGGAATGCCAGAAATGGGGATGGACCCCGGGAATTCCAGGGATTTGGGATGGATCCTGGGAATTCCAGGGATTTGGGACGGATCCTGAGAATTCTACGGATTCCAGGGATTCCAGGGGTTTGGGATGGACCCCAAGAGAGCCATTCCCATCCTTGGGAATTCCCTGGACCCTCTGGATCTTTCCAGACCCCCAAATTCCCAAATTCCCACCCAAATTTCCCGAATTTCCAGCTCCTCACCTCCTGCCAGACCTGGAAGTGGCTGAGGAAGCAGCGGCTCCTTGGGAACCCCTTGGATCTCCAGATTCCCTGGACCCCAAATTCCATCCCAGACCCCCCAAATTCCCAAATTCCCACCCAAAATTCCCAAAATTCTGGATTTTGAGGCTCCTCACCTCCTGCCAGACGTGGAAGTGGCTGAGGAAGCAGCGGCTCCTTTGGATCCCCTTGGATCCCTGATTCCCTGGACCCCCTGGATTGCTCCAGACCCCCCAAATTCCTTCCCAAATTCCCAAAATTCCCAAATTTCCTGCTCCTCACCTCCTGCCAGACCCGGAAGTGGCTGAGGAAGCAGCGGCTCCTTGGGAACCCCTTGGATCCCCTTGGATCCCCTGATTCCCTGGACCCCAAATTCCATCCCAAACCCCCCCAAATTCCCAAATTTTGATCTCAAATTCCAAATTTCCCCAAATTTCCTGTTCCTCACCTCCTGCCAGACGCGGAAGTGGCTGAGGAAGCAGCGGCTCCTTGGGAACCCCCTGGATCCCCTTGGATTCCCTGACCCTCTGGACCCTCTGGATTGCTCCAGACCCCCCAAATTCCCAAATTTTGATCTCAAATTCCCAAATTTCCACCCAAAATTCCGGATTTTGTGGCTCCTCACCTCCTGCCAGACATGGAAGTGGCTGAGGAAGCAGCGGCTCCTTCCCCCACCCTTGGGAACGCCCTGGATCCCCTTGGACTCTCAGATTCCCTGGACCCCCTGGATTGTTCCAGACCCCCCAAAATCCCAAATTCCCACCCAAAATTCCCAAATTTCGGGTTCCTCACCTCCTGCCAGACCCGGAAGTGGCTGAGGAAGCAGCCCACCTCGCCGTGGGTCAGGGCTCTCCCATGGAAGGGGTCCCGGTACCCGGGCAGCATCCGCACCCCCAGCGCCTCCACCTGGCTGCGGTTCAGGGCCCTGCGGAGCCACGGAACCTTCTGGAAAAGGGGAACCTGGGGGGGGGCTGGGCAGGGCAGAGGCTGGGGGGGTTCAGCCAAAATGTGGGGGATTCAGCCAAAATTTGGGGGGAAAATCTGGGGGGATTCAGCCAAAATCTGACAGGAAATTGACCCAAAATGTGGGGAAATTCAGCCAAAATCTGGGGGGAAATTCAGCCAAAATTTGGGGGAAAATCTGGGGGAATTCAGCCAAAATCTGGGGGGAAATTTGGGGGAATTCACCCAAAATCTGGGGGGAAATTTGGGGGAAATTCACCCAAAATCTGGGGGGAAATTTGGGGGAGTTCACCCAAAATCTGGGGGATTTCACCCAAAATCTGGGGGAAAATCGGGGGAAATTCAGCCAAAATCTGGGGGGAAATTTGGGGAAATTCAGCCAAAATCTGGGGAAATTCAGCCAAAATTTGGGGGGAATGGGGAAATCTGGGGAAAATCACCCAAAATCTGGGGGGAAATTTGGGAGAGTTCACCCAAAATCTGGGGGGAAATTTGGGGCAATTCACCCAAAATCTGGGGGAATTCACCCAAAATTTGGGGGAAAATCTGGGGAAATTCAGCCAAAATCTGGGGGGAAATCTGGGGGAATTCAGCCAAAATCTGGGGGAATTCAGCCAAAATCTGGGGAAAATCTGGGGGAAATTCACCCAAAATCTGGGGGGAAATTGACCCAAAATGTGGGGGAAAATCACCCAAAATCTGGGGGAATTCACCCAAAATCTGAGGGTAAATTCAGCCAAAATCTGACAGGAAATTGACCCAAAATGTGGGGGAATTCAGCCAAAATCTGGGGAAAAATTCAGCCAAAATCTGGGGGGAAATGGGGAAATCTGGGGGTCTCTGGGTGGGGTTTGAGGGGGTCTCTGGCAGGGGTCTCTGGGGGGGGGTCTCAGGGTGGGTCTGGGGTCTCCGGGGGTTTGGGGGGGGTCTCTGGGTGGGTCCTGGGGGTCTCTAGCAGGGGTCTGGGGTCTCAGGGGGTCTCTGGGGTTTCTGGAGGGGGTCTGGGATCTCTGGGTGAGTCTGGGGTCTCTGTGTGGGTCTGGGGTCTCTGTGTGGGGGTCTCTGGGTCTCAGGGGGTCTCAGGTTGGGTCTGGGTCTCTGTGTGGGGGTCTCTGGGTGGGTCTGGGGTCCCTGGGGGTCTCTGGGTGGGTCTGGGGGGGTCTCCTCAGGGGGGGGGTCTCTGTGTGGGTCTGGGGGTCTCAGGTTGGGTTAGGGGTCCCTGGGGGTCCCTGGGGTCTCTGGGGTCCCTGGGGGTCCCTGGGGTCTCTGTGTGGGTGTGGGGGTCCCTGGGGTCCCTGGGTGTCTCTGGGGTCTTGGGTTGGGTCTGGGGTCTCAGGTTGGGTCCCTGGGGGTCCCTGGGGTCTCTGTGTGGGTCTGGGGTCTCTGGCTGGGGTCTCAGGGTGGGTCCCTGGGTGTCCCTGGGTGTCCCTGGGGTCCCTGGGGTCTCAGGGTGGGGGTCTCTGTGGTCTGTGGGATCTCAGGGGGTCTCAGGTTGGGTCAGGGGTCCCTGGGGTCCCTGGGGGTCTCTGGGTGGGTCTGGGGTCTCTGTGTGGGGTCTCAGGGGGTCTCAGGTTGGGTCTGGGGTCTCTGTGTGGGGGTCCCTGGGTGTCCCTGTGGGTCCCTGGGGGTCCCCGGGGTCCCTGGGGTCTCTGTGTGGGTCTGGGGTCCCTGTGTGGGTGTCCCTGGGTGTCCCTGGGGTCTCTCTGTGGGTCTGGGGTCTCTGTGTGGGGTCCCAGGGTCCCTCACCGCCCGTCCACGGCCTCCACCAGCTTGGGGGCCACGCCCAGCGCGTGCAGCGAGCGCAGCATCCGCAGCCGGCGCCAGGAACGGCGACGCAGATTGATCAGGAACACCTGGGAGAGAATGGGGGAAATAAATGGGGAAATTGGGGGAAATTGGGGAAAAAATGAGGGGAAATGAGGGGAAAATGGGGGGAAATGGAGAAAAAATGGAGGGAAATGGGGAAAAATTGGGAAAAAATGGGGGGAAATGGGGGGAAATATTGGGGAGAAATGGGGAAAAATGGGGGAAATGGGGGAAATTGGGGGAATATTGGGGGGAAATGGGGGGAATGGGGGAAAATGGGGAAAAAATAGGGGAAAATGGGGGAAATTGGGGGAAATTGGGGAAAACTGGGGGAAAATGGGGGGAAAATGGGGGGAATGGAGAAAATGGGGGAAAATGGGGGGGAATGGGGGGAAAAATGGGGAAAAAATAGGGAAAATGGGGGGAAATGGGAGAAAATGGGGGAAATTGAGGGAATTGGGGGAAAAATGGGGGAAATTGGGAAAAAATGTGGGGAATTGGGGGAAAAATGGGGGAAAATGGGGGGGAAAAATTGGGGGAAATGGGGAAAAATGGGGGAAAATTGGGAAAAATGGGGGGGAATGGGGAAAAATGGGGGAAATTGGGGGAAAAATGGGGGGGAATGGGGGGAAATTGGGGAAAAATGGCGGAGAAATGGGGACATCTGGGGGGATTCACCCAAAATCCGGGCAGAAATGGGGAAAACTGGGGGAAATGGGGAAAAATTGGGAAATCTGGGGGGATTCACCCAAAGTCCGGGGGAAATGGGGAAATCCAGAAATCAAGCAGAAAAAAACGACCCAAAATCCAGCAAAATTGAGGAAATGGCCCAAAAATCACCAAGGAAAAGGAGGAAAATGCCCCAAAATCCCAGGGGAAAGGCGGGGAAAGGCCCCAGAGGCCGAGGGGGATGGGGATCCCGGCCGGAATTCCGAGGGGGGGGCTCCAACCTCATCAAATCCCAGCTTGTCCAGGACCTTGGGAGGGACCCACACGTGCGGGGAAGGCTCGGCCGGAGGGAGCTTCACTGTGGGAAGGGGAAAATCCTGTGGGAATGGGGCCTAAATCCCATGGGAATGGGGCCTAAATCCATGGGAATGGGGCCTAAATCCCGTGGGGATCAGCCCCAAAATCCCGTGGGAATGGGCACCTAAATCCCATGGGAATGGGGCCTAAATCCCGTGGGAATGGGGCCTAAAATCCCATGGGAATGGGGCCTAAATCCCGTGGGAATGGGGCCTAAATCCTGTGGGAATGGGGCACAAATCCCGTGGGAATGGGGCCTAAATCCCGTGGGAATCAGCCCCAAAATCCCGTGGGAATGGGGCCTAAATCCATGGGAATGGGGCCTAAATCCATGGGAATGGGGCCTAAAATCCCATGGGAATGGGGCCTAAATCCCGTGGGAATGGGGCCTAAATCCTGAAGGAATCAGCCCCAAAATCCCATGGGAATGGGCTCCTAAATCCCATGGGAATGGGGCCTAAATCCCATGGGAATGGGGCCTAAATCCCGTGGGAATGGGCCCTAAAATCCCATGGGAATGGGGCCTAAAATCCCATGGGAATGGGGCCTAAATCCCGTGGGAATGGGGCCTAAATCCCATGGGAATGGGGCCTAAATCCCATGGGAATCAGCCCCAAAATCCTGTGGGAATGGGGCCTAAAATCCCATGGGAATGGGCTCCTAAATCCCAAAGGAATCAGCTCCTAAATCCCGTGGGAATGGGGCCTAAATCCCATGGGAATCAGCCCCAAAATCCCGTGGGAATGGGGCCTAAATCCCGTGGGAATGGGGCCTAAATCCTGTGGGAATGGGGCCTAAAATCCCGTGGGAATGGGGCCTAAAATCCCGTGGGAATGGGGCCTAAAATCCCATGGGAATCAGCCCCAAAATCCCGTGGGAATGGGGCCTAAATCCATGGGAATGGGGCCTAAATCCCGTGGGAATGGGCCCCTAAATCCCGTGGGAATGGGGCCTAAATCCCGTGGGAATGGGCCCCTAAATCCCGTGGGAATGGGGCCTAAATCCCGTGGGAATGGGCCCCTAAATCCCATGGGAATAGGCCCCTAAACCCTGTGGGAATGGGCCCTAAATCCCGTGGGAATGGGGCCTAAATCCTGTGGGGATGGGGCCTAAATCCATGGGAATGGGGCCTAAAATCCCGTGGGAATGGGGCCTAAATCCCGTGGGAATGGGCACCAAAATCCCAAAGGAATCAGCCCCAAAGTCCCAAAGGAATGGGCTCCTAAATCCCATGGGAATGGGCCCCTAAACCCTGTGGGAATGGGCCCTAAATCCCGTGGGAATGGGCCCTAAATCCCGTGGGAATGGGGCCTAAATCCCGTGGGAATGGGGCCTAAAATCCCATGGGAATGGGGCCTAAAATCCCATGGGAATGGGGCCTAAAATCCCGTGGGAATGGGGCCTAAATCCATGGGAATGGGGCCTAAATCCCATGGGAATGGGGCCTAAAATCCCATGGGAATGGGGCCTAAATCCCATGGGAATGGGGCCCCTAAACCCTGTGGGAATGGGGCCTAAATCCCATGGGAATGGGCCCCTAAATCCCGTGGGAATGGGGCCTAAATCCTGAAGGAATCAGCCCCAAAATCCCATGGGAATCAGCCCCAAAATCCCATGGGAATGGGGCCCCTAAACCCTGTGGGAATGGGGCCTAAATCCCATGGGAATGGGCCCCAAATTCCAAAGGAATCATCCCCTAAATCCCATGGAAATGGGCACCTAAATCCCATGGGAATGGGGCCTAAAATCCCATGGGAATGGGGCCTAAATCCCGTGGGAATGGGGCCTAAATCCTGAAGGAATCAGCCCCAAAATCCCATGGAAATGGGCTCCTAAATCCCGTGGGAATGGGGGCCTAAATCCCACAGGAATCAGCCCCAAAGTCCCAAAGGAATGGGCCCCTAAATCCCGTGGGAATGGGGCCCTAAATCCCAAAGGAATCAGCCCCAAAATCCCATGGAAATGGGCACCTAAATCCCCGTGGGAATGGGGCCTAAATCCCGTGGGAATGGGGCCTAATCCCATGGGAATCAGCCCCTAAATCCCGTGGGAATGGGGCCTAAATCCCGTGGGAATGGGGCCTAAATCCATGGAAATGAGTCCCTAAATCCCGTGGGAATGGAGCCTAAAATCCCATGGGAATGGGGCCTAAATCCCATGGGAATGGGGCCTAAATCCCGTGGGAATGGGGCCTAAATCCCATGGGAATGGGGCCTAAATCCCGTGGGAATGGGGCCTAAATCCCGTGGGAATGGGCACCTAAATCCCATGGGAATGGGCCCTAAATCCCGTGGGAATGGAGCCTAAATCCCGTGGGAATGGGGCCTAAAATCCCATGGGAATGGGGCCTAAAATCCCATGGGAATGGGGCCTAAAATCCCATGGGAATGGGCTCCTAAATCCCATGGAAATGGGCCCCGAAATCCCGTGGGAATCAGCCCCAAAATCCCGTGGGAATGGGGCCTAAATCCCATGGGAATCAGCCCCTAAATCCCGTGGGAATGGGCACCAAAATCCCAAAGCAATCAGCCCCAAAATCCCATGGGAATGGCCCCTAAATCCCATGGAAATGGGCCCCTAAATCCCAAAGGAATCAGCTCCTAAATCCCGTGGGAATGGGCCCCAAATTCCAAAGGAATCAGCCCCTAAATCCCGTGGGATGGGTTCTAAATCCCGTGGGAATGGGCCCCGAAATCCCGTGGGAACGAGCCTTTAAATCCCATGGGAATGGCGCCTAAAATCCCATGGGAATGGGGCCTAAAATCCCATGGGAATGGGGCCTAAATCCCGTGGGAATGGGGCCTAAATCCCGTGGGAATGGGCCCCGAAATCCTGAAGGAATCAGTCCCTAAATCCCATGGGAATGGGCTTTGAAATCCCATGGGAATGGGGCTTTGAAATCCCATGGGAATGGGCCCTAAATCCCGTGGGAATGGGGCCTAAATTCTGTGGGAATGGGGCCTAAATCCCAAAGGAATCAGCCCCAAAATCCCGTGGGAATGGGCCCTAAATCCCATGGGAATGGGCTCCTAAATCCCATGGGAATGGTCCCTAAATCCCATGGGAACATTTCCCATCCTGGGGGTGAAGAATTCCCAATCCCAGGGCTCCCATCCCAGGATCCTTCTCCCCCCCCAGGATCCCAAAGCTCTGAATCCCTTGGGATCCTTTAGGATCCCTCCCTGCCCCACACAGTCCCAAAGTTCTGAATCCATTGGGATCCTTTGGGATCCACTGGGATCCCTGCCTCCCACACCGTCCCAAAGCCCTGGATCCATTGGGATCCTCCCCTGCCCCACAATCCCAAAGCCCCGGATTCCACTGGGATCCTTTGGGATCCATTGGGATCCTTCCCTGCCCCACACAGTCCCAAAGTTCTGAATCCATTGGGATCCTTTGGGATCCATTGGGATCCCTCTCTGCCCCACAACCCTGAGGCCCCGGATGCTTTGGGATCCCATTGGGATCCTCCCTGCCCCACAGTCCCAAAGCCCTGAAATCCACTGGGATCCTTTGAGATCCATTGGGATCCTCTGGGATCCATTGGGATCCTTCCCTCCCTGCCCCACAATCCCAAAGCCCTGGAATCCACTGGGATCCTTTGGGATCATCTGGGATCCCTCCCTCTCACACAACAGCAAAGCCCTGGATCCTTTGGGATCCATTGGGATTCTTCCCTCCCACATAATCCCAAAGCTCTGAATCCATTGGGATCCTTTGGGATCCTTCCCTCCCACAATCCCAAGGCCCTGGATCCTTTGAGATCCATTGGGATCCCTCCCTGCCCCACAACCCCGAGGCCCCGGATCCTTTGGGATCCTTTGGGATCCTTTGGGATCCTTCCCTGCCCCACAATCCCAAAGCTCTGAATCCACTGGGATCCATTGGGATCCATTGGGATCCACTGGGATCCCTCCCTCCCCCACAATCCCAAAGCTCTGGATCCTTTGGGATCCTTTGGGATCCATTGGGATGCTCCAGGATCTCACCCATGATCTCCAGCTGGACGTGCAGGAAGTTCTCGGCCTCGTCCTGCAGGGAGCTCTGGGATCGCAGCGGCACCGGCAGGAACCCAAACTGCTCCCGGTTGGACACGAACATCTGAACCCCTGGGATAACAATGGGAATGATGGGAATAATGGGAATAACGGGAATGGGAATAATGGGAATAACGGGATCAGGGATGGGAGCCTGAACTGCTCCCGGTTGGACACGAACATCTGAACCCCTGGAACAATGGGAATAATGGGAATAATGGGAATAACAGGAACAATGGGAATAATGGGAACAATGGCATCAGGGATGGGAGCCTGAACTGCTCCCGGTTGGACACGAACATCTGAACCCCTGGGATAATGATGGGAATGATGGGAATAACGGGAATAACGGGATTGGGAATAATGGGAATAACGGGAACAATGGGATCAGGGATGGGAACCCGAACTGCTCCCGGTTGGACACGAACATCTGAACCCCTGGAATAACAATGGGAATGATGGGAATAACGGGAATAACGGGAATAACGGGATCAGGGATGGGAACCCAAACTGCTCCCGGTTGGAGACAAACATCTGAACCCCTGGGATAACGATGGGAATGATGGGAATAACAGGAATAACGGGATTGGGAATAACGGGAACAACGGGATTGGGATCAGGGATGGGAACCCGAACTGCTCCCGGTTGGACACGAACATCTGAACCCCTGGGATAACAATGGGAATGACGGGATTGGGAACAACGGGAACGATGGGAATAATGAGAATAACGGGATTGGGATCAGGGATGGGAACCCGAACTGCTCCCGGTTGGAGACGAACATCTGAACCCCTGGGATAATGGGAATGATGGGAATAACGGGAACAATGGGAACAATGGGATCAGGGATGGGAACCCAAACTGCTCCCGGTTGGACACGAACATCTGAACCCCTGGAACAATGGGAATGATGGGAATAATGGGAATAATGGGAATAACAGGATTGGGATCAGGGATGGGAACCCGAACTGCTCCCGGTTGGAGACGAACATCTGAACCCCTGGGATAACGATGGGAATGACGGGATTGGGAATAATGGGAATAATGGGAATAACGGGAACAATGGGAATAATGGGAATAACGGGAATGGGATCAGGGATGGGAACCCGAACTGCTCCCGGTTGGACACGAACATCTGAACCCCTGGGATAACGATGGGAATGATGGGAATAACGGGAATAACGGGATTGGGAATAATGGGATTGGGATCAGGGATGGGAACCCAAACTGCTCCCAGTGGGACAGGAGCATCTGAACCCCTGGGATAATGGGAACAACGGGAACAATGGAATTGGGAACAATGGGAACCATGGGAACCATGGGAATAACGGGATTGGGAACGATGGGAATAACGGGATTGGGAATAATGGGAACAATGGGATTGGGAATAATGGGAACAATGGGATTGGGATGAAGGACGGGAGCCCAAACTGCTCCCGGTGGGCCAGGAGCACCTGAACCCCTGGGATAACGGGATCAGGGATCCATCGGGATTGGGACCAGAGCAGGATCAGGATGGGGGAGTCACCCCAAAACTGGGATCACCCAAATCACAGCTCAACCCCAAACACAACCCAACCCAACCCAACCCAACCCAACCCAACCCATCAATCCCAACCCATCAATCCCAACCCAACCCAACCCAACCCAACCCAACCCAACCAAACCCAACCCAACCCAACCCAACCCAACCATCCCATTGCAACCCAACCCAACAAACCCAAACCAAAAATCCCAACCCAACAAACCCATCCCAACCCAACCAAACCCAACCCATCAATCCCAACCCAACCCAACCTGACCCAACCCAACCCACCAATCCCAACCCAATCCCAACCCAATTCAACCCAACCCAACGCAACAATCCCAACTCAACCCAACTCAACCCAACTCAACCCAACCCAACCCATCAATCCCAACTCAACCCAACCCATCAATCCCAACCCAACGCAACCCAACCCAACCCAACCCATCAATCCCAACTCAACCCAAGCCAACAATCCCAACTCAACTCAACCCAACAATCCCAACCCAACCCAACCCAACAATCCCAACCCAATCCAATCCAACCCCACCCAACGCAACCCAATTCAACCCAACAATCGCATTCCAACCCAACCATCCCAACCCAACCCAACTCAACCCAACCCAACCCAACAATCCCAACCCAACCAAACCCAAGTCATCAATCCCAACTCCACCCAACAATCCCAGCCCAACCCAACCCAACCCAGCCCAATGCCATGCCCATTGCCTGTGCTCACCGGCGTGGCGGCAGGCGGCAGCAAAGACCAGGATGTCATCCCAATCCCAACCCAACAACCCCAACCCAATTCGACCCAACCCGACCCAATCCAACCCAACTCAACCCAACCCATCAATCCCAACCCAACCCAACCCAACAATCCCAACTCAATCCAACCCAATCCAATCCAACTCAACCCAACCCAACAATCCCAACTCAATCCAACCCAACCCAATCCAACCCAACCCAACCCAACCCAACAATCCCAACTCAACCCAACCCAACCCGACCCAACCCAACCTGACCCAACCCAACCCATCAATCCCAACCCAACCCAACAATCCCAACTCAATCCAACCCAACCCAATCCAACTCAACCCAACCCAATCCAATCCAATCCAACCCAACCCAACGCAACCCAATTCAACCACACAATCGCATTCCAACCCAACCATCCCAACCCAACCCAACCCAACCCAACAATCCCAACCCAACTCCACCCACCAATCCCAACCCAACCCAACCCAACCCAGCCCACCAATGCCATGCCCATTGCCCGTGCTCACCGGCGTGGCGGCAGGCGGCGGCGAACACCAGGATGTCGTCGAGGGGGCCGGCGTAGCCGGGCGGGGGCGGGTGGAAGGCCAGGTGCCGCGCGCGCTCGCGGCGCAGGTCCAGCAGGAACGTCGAGTGCACCATGGGCACCGCAAAGCAGCCGCGGCGCTCCCGGCGCCGGATCGGCAGGTAGGCGGCCGTGCGGCGGTAATAGCCCTGCCAAAGGGGGAGTGACCACTGAGTGACCGCTGAGTGACCACTGAGTGACCACTGAGTGACCACTGAGTGACCAATGAGTAACCAATGAGTAACCAGTGAGTGACCGCTGAGTGACCAATGAGTGACCACTGAGTGACCACTGAGTGACCAATGGGATCGGCAGGTAGGCGGCCGTGCGGCGGTAATAGCCCTGGGAATGGGGAGTGACCAATGAGTGACCACTGAGTGACCAATGAGCGACCACTGAGTGACCACTGAGTGACCAATGAGTGACCACTGAGTGACCACTGAGTGACCAATGGGATCGGCAGGTAGGCGGCTGTGCGGCGGTAATAGCCCTGCCAAAGGGGGAGTGACCAATGAGTGACCAATGAGTGACCAATGAGTGACCAGTGACTGACCAATGAGTGACCAATGAGTGACCAATGGGATCGGCAGGTAGGCGGCCGTGCGGCAGTAATAGCCCTGGGAATGGGGAGTGACCACTGAGTGACCACTGAGTGACCGCTGAGTGACCACTGAGTGACCACTGAGTAACCAATGAGTGACCTCTGAGTGACCTCTGAGTGACCAATGAGTGACCACTGAGTGACCTCTGAGTGACCTCTGAGTGACCACTGAGTGACCACTGAGTGACCACTGGGATCGGCAGGTAGGCGGCCGTGCGGCGGTAATAGCCCTGGGGATGGGGAGTGACCAATGAGTGACCAATGAGCGACCAATGAGTGACCAATGAGTGACCACTGAGTGACCACTGAGTGACCAATGAGCAACCAATGAGTGACCAGTGAGTGACCAATGAGTGACCACTGAGTGACCGCTGAGTGACCAATGGGAGTGACCAATGAGTGACCAGTGAGTGACCAATGGGAGTGACCAATGAGTGACCACTGAGTGACCAATGAGTGACCAATGAGTGACCGCTGAGTGACCAATGGGAGTGACCAATGAGTGACCCATGAGTGACCACTGAGTGACCAATGAGTGACCAATGGGAGTGACCAATGAGTGACCACTGAGTGACCAATGAGTGACCCCTGGGACTGGCACTGGGAATGGTGCCAGGAATGGGAGTGACCACTGGCAATGGAACACAGGAATGGCTCCACCTCACCTGTGCCCACCCTCACCTGTCAGTGCCACACCCTGACCTGTGCCACGCCCTCACCTGTGCCACGCCCTCACCTGTGCCCACCCTCACCTGTGCCACACCCTGACCTGTCAGTGCCACACCCACACCTGTCAGTGCCACACCCTCCCCTATCAGTGCCACACCCTCCCCTGTCAGTGCCACACCCACACCTGTCAGTGCCACACCCTCCCCTATCAGTGCCACACCTTCCCCTGTCAGTGCCACACCCTCACCTGTGCCACACCCTCACCTGTCAGTGCCACACCCTCACCTGTGCCACACCCTCACCTGTCAGTGCCACACCCTCACCTGTGCCACACCCTCACCTGTCAGTGCCACACCCTCCCCTGTCAGTGCCACACCCTCCCGTCAGTGCCACACCCTCACCTGTGCCCACCCTCACCAGTGCCACACCCTCCCGTCAGTGCCACACCCTCCCCTATCAGTGCCACACCCTCACCAGTCAGTGCCACACCCTCACCTGTGGGTGCCACACCCTCACCTGTGGGGTGATGCCGCACCAGAAGTTGGAGTAGGCCGCGCGCGAGTCCAGCATCGGCGCCACCACGGTTCTGTTCTCAGCCAGCAGCACGGCCAGAGCGTCGGGGTGCACCAGGACATTGTCTGCGTCCAGGAACTGGGACAGGGACACACCTGTGACACACCTGGGGCACACCTGGGACACACCTGGGACACACCTGGGCACAGCTGTGTGACACCTGGGACACACCTGTGTGACACCTGTGTGACACACCTGGGCACACCTGTGTGACACCTGTGTGACACCTGTGACACACCTGGGACACACCTGGGCACAGCTGTGTGACACCTGGGACACGTGGGACAGACCTCAGCACATTCAGAGACCCCTCCCCAATTCAGGCACAGCCACTGGGTTCAATCCCAACCCTGGCTGTCCCCAGTGTCCCCCACCTTGGGGCTGGGTTTGTCCCCTCTGAGGGGGCTCAGGGACCCTTGGGGACCCTTGGGGACCCCTCCCCAAATTCAGAGACCCCTCCCCAAATTCAGACACAGCCACGCCCAGCCCTGGCTGTCCCCAGTGTCCCCCACCTTGGGGCTGCGTTTGTCCCCTTTGGGAGGCCTGGGGACCCCTCCCTGGTGCTCAGCAACCCTTGGGGCCCCCTCCCCACATTCAGAGACCCCTCCCCACATTCAGAGACCCCTCCCCACATTCGGGGCCCCCTCCCCACATTGGGGGACCCCTCCCCACATTCAGGGACCCCTCCCCACATTCAGGCACAGCCACTGGGTTCAATCCCAACCCTGGGTGTCCCCAGTGTCCCCCACCCCAGGGCTGCGTTTGTCCACCTTGAGGGGGCTCAGGGACCCTTGGGGACCCTTGGGGACCCCTCCCCAAATTCAGAGACCCCTCCCCAATTCAAACACAGCCACACCCAACCCTGGGTGTCCCCAGTGTCCCCCACCCCAGGGCTGGGTTTGTCCCCTTTGAGGGGGCTCAGGGATCCTTGGGGACCCCTCCCCACATTGGGGGCCCCCTCCCCACATTCAGGGACCCCTCCCCACATTTGGGGACCTCTCCCCAATTCAGACACAGCCACACCCACCCCTGGGTGTCCCCAATGTCCCCCACCCCGGGGCTGGGTTTGTCCCCTCTGAGGGGGCTCAGGGACCCTTGGGGGACCTTTGGGGATCCCTCCCCACATTCGGGGACCCCTCCCCACATTCAGAGACCCCTCCCCACATTCAGGACCACCCCCAAATCAGACACACCTGGGCCTGGCTGTCCCCAGTGTCCCCCACCCCAGGGCTGGGTTTGTCCCCTTTGAGGGGGCTCAGGGACCCTTGGGGGACCCTTGGGGCCCCCTCCCCAAATTCGGGGACCCCTCCCCAAATTCAAGACCCTCCCAGTTCAGGCACAGCCACGCCCAGCCCTGGCTGTCCCCAGTGTCCCCCACCTTGGGGCTGGGTTTGTCCCCTCTGAGGGGGCTCAGGGACCCTTGGGGGACCTTTGGGGACCCCTCCCCACATTCAGGGACCCCTCCCCACATTGGGGGCCCCCTCCCCACCTTCAGCCCCCCATTACCAGCAGGTAATCGGCCCACATGGCCCGGGCGGCCTCCAGGGCCTCCTGGCGCAGCCTCATCACGTGCTCGTAGCGGGCGGGGCTCCAGTGCTTGGGCCCCTCCTCGTCGGGGAAGGACCTGGGGGGCACCGGGGGGAACCTCAGACACCCCAAAATCCCGGGGAGATTCCCCCCAAAATTATAGGGAGCCCCCCGAAATATGGGAGCCACAGGGATGCTCAAAACCTCAGGAAAACCCCAAAATTTGGGGATTCCTCCCCACAAATTTGGGTCCCTCCTCAGTGGGGAAGGACCTGGGGGGCACCGGGGGAAACCTCAGGCACCCCAAAATCCTGGGGAGAGCCCCCCAAAATTATAGGGAGCCCCCCAAAATTTGGGAGCCATAGGGAGCCTGAAAATCTGAGGAAAATCCCAAATTTGGGGACTCTAGGGGACTCCTCCCCCCAATTTTGGGGTCCCTCCTCATTGGAGAAGGACCTGGGGGCACCTCAGTCACCCCAAAATCCTGAGGAGAGCCCCCCAAAATTATAGGGAGCCCCCCAAAATTTGGGACCCACAGGGACCCTTGAAACCTGAGGAAAACCCCAAAATTTGGGGATTCCTCCCCCCAATTTTGGGACCCTTCTCATTGGAGAAGGACCTGGGGGGCACCTCAGACACCCCAAAATCTTGAGGAGAATCCCCCCAAAATTATAGGGAGCCCCCCGAAATTTGGGACCCACAGGGAGCCTCAGAACCTGAGGAAAACCCCAAAATTTGGGGATTCCTAACCCCAAAAATTGGGACCCTTCTCATTGGGGAAGGACCTGGGGGGCACCTCAGACACCCCAAAATCTTGAAGAGACCCCCCCAAAATTAAAGGGGACACCCCCGAAATATGGGAGCCACACGGAGCCTCGAAACCTGAGGAAAACCCCAAAATTTGGGGATTCCCAGGGGACTTTTCCTCTCAAATTTGGGGTCAATCCTCATTGGGGAAGGACCTGGGGGGCACCTCAGACACCCCAAAATCCCGAGGAGAATCCCCCCAAAATTATAGGGGACACCCCCAAAATTTGGGAGCCACGGGGAGCCTCAAAATCTGAGGAAAATCCCAAAATTTGGGGATTCCTAACCCCAAAATTGGGACCCTTCTCATTGGGGAAGGACCTGGGGGCACCTCAGACCCCCCAAAATCTTGAGGAGACCCCCCCCAAAATTATAGGGAGCCCCCCAAAATTTGGGAGCCACAGGGAGCCTCAGAACCTGAGGAAAATCCCAAAATTTGGGGACTCTAGGGGACTCCTCCCCTCAATTTTGGGGTCCCTCCTCATTGGGGAAGGACCTGGGGGGCACCTCAGTCACCCCAAAATCCTGAGGAGAGCCCCCCAAAATTATAGGGAGCCCCCCGAAATATGGGAGCCACAGGGAGCCTCAGAACCTGAGGAAAACCCCAAAATTCGGGGATTCCTAACCCCAAAATTGGGACCCTTCTCATTGGGGAAGGACCTGGGGGGCACCGGGGGGAACTTCAGACACCCCAAAATCCTGAGGAGACCCCCCCAAAATTATAGGGACACCCCTAAAATCCGGGGAGAGCCCCCCGAAATTGGGGACCCACAGGGACCCTCAGAACCTGAGGAAAACCCCAAAATTTGGGGACTCTAGGGGACTCCTCCCCTCAATTTTGGGGTCTCTTCTCATTGGAGAAGGACCTGGGGGGCACCGGGGGGAACTTCAGACACCCCAAAATCTTGAGGAGACCCCCCCAAAATTGTAGGGACACCCCAAAATTTGGGACCCACAGGGAGCCTGAAAACCTGAGGAAAACCCCAAAATTTTGGGTCCCTCCTCATTGGGGAAGGACCTGGGGGGCACCGGGGGCACCTCAGACACCCCAAAATCCCGAGGAGACCCCCCCCAAATCCGGGGAGAGCCCCCCGAAATTGGGGAGCCACAGGGAGCCTCAAAACCTGAGGAAAACCCCAAAATTTGGGGACTCTAGGGGACTCCTCCCCCCAATTTTGGGGTCTCTTCTCATTGGAGAAGGACCTGGGGGGCACCAGGGGAAACCTCAGACACCCCAAAATCCTGAGGAGACCCCCCCAAAATTATAGGGACACCCCCAAAATCCGGGGAGAGCCCCCCGAAATTTGGGACCCACAGGGAGCCTCAAAACCTGAGGAAAACCCCAAAATTTGGGGATTCCTAACCCCAAAATTGGGACCCTTCTCATTGGGGAAGGACCTGGGGGCACCTCAGACACCCCAAAATCTTGAGGAGAGCCCCCCAAAATTGTAGGGACACCCCGAAATTTGGGACCCACAGGACCCCCCTCAAGCTCCTCCCCAAAGTGACCAAACCCCCAAAATTCCACCCTGAACACCCTGGGACCCCCCCCCAAAAATCCCCCAGGAACCCCAAAAATGAGTCTGGGCCCCCCAAAAAATGAGTCTGGACCCCAAAAAATGAGTCTGGACCCCCCAAAAATGGATCTGAGCCCCCCCAAAATGAGTCAAGAGCTCCTCAAAACCTGAGCCCCCCTAGAATTGCCCAAGGCCCCCAAAAATGCATCTGAGCCCCCCAAAAATGGCTCAAAGCCCCCAGGGACGGTTCTGAGCCCCCCCAGGAAGGTGTCAGAGACCCCCAAAAATTGATCAAATCCCCTAAAAATGTATCAGAGCCCCCCAAAATTGCTCAAACCCCCTCAAAGATGGTTCTGAGCCCCCCCAAAATGAGTCCAGAGCTCCTCAAAACCTGTCAGAGCCCCCCTAGAATTGCCCAAGCCCCCCAAAATGGATCTGAGACCCCCAAAAATTGCTCAAAGCACCAAAAATGTATCTGAGCCCCCCAAAGATGGTTTTGAGCCCCCCCAAAATTGCTCAAAGCCCCCAAAATTGTATCTGAGCCCCCCAGAAAGGTGTCAGGGCCCCCAGAAATGTCTCTGAGCCCCCAAAGATGGTTCTGAGCCCCCCAGAAATGGCTCAGAACCCCCCAAAAATGGCTCAAACCCCCAAAATTGTATCTGAGCCCCCCCAAAATTGTATCTGAGCCCCCCAGAAAGGTGTCAGGGCCCCCAAAATGAGTCAAGAGCTGTCAAGAGCTCCTCAAAAATGGTTCTGAGCCCCCCAAAAAGGTGTCAGAGCCCCCAAAAATTGCTCTAAACCCCCTAAAAATGTATCAGAGCCCCCCAAAAATTGCTCAAAGCCCCCAAAATTGTATCTGAGCCCCCCCAAAAGGTGCCTGAGCCCCCCAGAAATGTCTCTGAGCCCCCCAAAAATGAGTCAAGAGCTCCTCAAAACCTGTCTGAGCCCCCCTAAAATGCATCTGAGCCCCCCAAAAATGGATCTGAGCCCCCCAGGGATGGTTCTGAGCCCCCTAGAAAGGTGTCAGGGCCCCCCAAAAGGTGCCTGAGACCCCCAAATTGTGTCTGAGCCCCCAAAATGAGTCAAGAGCTCCTCAAAACCTGTCTGAGCCCCCCTAGAACTGCCCAAGCCCCCCAAAATGGATCTGAGCCCCCCAAAAATGGCTCAAAGACCCCAGAGATGGTTCTGAGCCCCCCAGAAAGGTCCCAGAGCCCCCCAGAGAGGTCCCAGAGCCCCCCAGAAAGGTCCCAGAGCCCCCCAGAAAGGTCCCAGAGCCCCCCAGATGTCCCAGAGCCCCCCAGAAAGGTCCCAGAGCCCCCCAGAAAGGTCCCAGAGCCCCCCAGATGTGCCAGAGCCCCCCCAGATGTCCCAGAGCCCCCCAGAAAGGTCCCAGAGCCCCCAGAGAGGTCCCAGAGCCCCCAGAAAGGTCCCAGAGCCCCCAGAAAGGTCCCAGAGCCCCCAGAAAGGTCCCAGAGCCCCCCCAGATGTGCCAGAGCCCCCAGAAAGGTCCCAGGCCCCCCCCAGAAAGGTCCCAGGGCCCCCCCAGATGTCCCAGAGCCCCCCAGATGTCTCAGAGCCCCCCCAGAGGTCCCAGAGCCCCCCAGAAAGGTCCCAGAGCCCCCCCAGATGTGCCAGAGCCCCCCCAGAAAGGTCCCAGAGCCCCCAGAGAGGTCCCAGAGCCCCCCCAGACATCCCAGAGCCCCCCAGAAAGGTCCCAGAGCCCCCCAGATGTCCCAGAGCCCCCCCAGACATCCCAGAGCCCCCAGAAAGGTCCCAGGGCCCCCAGAAAGGTCCCAGAGCCCCCCCAGAAAGGTCCCAGAGCCCCCCAGATGTCCCAGAGCCCCCCAGAAAGGTCCCAGAGCCCCCCCAGATGTCCCAGAGCCCCCCAGAAAGGTCCCAGAGCCCCCCCAGAAAGGTCCCAGAGCCCCCCAGAAAGGTCCCAGAGCCCCCCAGAAAGGTCCCAGAGCCCCCCAGAAAGGTCCCAGGGCCCCCCCAGAAAGGTCCCAGAGCCCCCCCAGAAAGGTCCCAGAGCCCCCCCAGAGAGGTCCCAGAGCCCCCAGAAAGGTCCCAGAGCCCCCCAGAAAGGTCCCAGAGCCCCCAGAAAGGTCCCAGAGCCCCCCAGAAAGGTCCCAGAGCCCCCAGAAAGGTCCCAAAGCCCCCCAGAGGTCCCAGAGCCCCCCCAAAAAGGTCCCAGAGCCCCCCCAGATGTCCCAGAGCCCCCCCAGATGTCCCAGAGCCCCCCAGAGAGGTCCCAGAGCCCCCCCAGACTGACGTGGGCTCCTCCTGGTGCCTCCAGAGCACGCGGTGGTAGCGGCTCCGCACGCGGCCCAGCCACTCCTGCAGCAGCGAGGAGGTGTTGTCAATGCTGTGGTCAACGGCCACCCTGAGGGGACACGGGGACACCTGAGTGTCACATGGGGTCACACAGGGTCACTCGGGGTCATAGAGGGGTCACACGGGGTCATACAGGGTCATAGAGGTCATACAGGGTCACACAGTGTCACACACAGGGTCAGTGTCACACACACACACACTGAGGTGTTGTCAATGCTGTGGTCAACGGCCACCCTGAGGGGACACGGGGACATCTCAGTGTCACATGGGGTCACACGGGGTCATAGAGGGGTCACACGGGGTCATACAGGGGTCTCAGAGCCAGGGGAGTTCATACAGGGTCAGTGTCACACACACACTGAGGTGTTGTCAATGCTGTGGTCAATGGCCACCCTGAGGGGACACGGGGACACCTGAGTGACACATGGGGTCACACGGGGTCATACAGGGTCACAGTGTCACACACAGGGTCATACAGGGTCCCAGTGTCACACACAGGGTCAGTGTCACACACACACACACAGAGGTGTTGTCAATGCTGTGGTCAACGGCCACCCTGAGGGGACACGGGGACATCTCAGTGTCACATGGGGACACCTGAGTGACACACGGGGTCACATGGGATCATACAGGGTCATACAGGGTCACAGTGTCACACACAGGGTCAGTGTCACATCTCAGTGTCACACGGGGTCACACAGGGTCATACAGGGTCACAGTGTCACACACAGGGTCAGTGTCACACACACACACACACTGAGGTGTTGTCAATGCTGCGGTCAATGGCCACCCTGAGGGGACACGGGGACACCTGAGTGACACACGGGGTCACACGGGGTCACACAGGGGTCACACGGGGTCACACAGGGTCAGTGTCACACAGGGGGTGACATGCACAGGGTCAGTGTCACACACGGAGCCCATCCCAGAGTGTTCCCCACACTCCCCTCACTCACACAGGTCCCCTCAATGTCCCCCAATGTCCCCTCAGTGTCCCCTCAATGTCCCCCAATGTCCCCTCAATGTCCCCCAATGTCCCCCAGTGTCCCCAGACCCACCAGCACCCCCAGTGTCCCCAATGTCCCCAGACCCCACAACGTCCTCAGTGTCCCCCCACTGTCCCCAGTGTCCCCACGCCCCCCAGTGTCCCCAGACCCACCACAGCGCCATCCTGTCCTTGGGGTGCTGTGTCCCCCCAGTGTCCCCAATGTCCCCCAATGTCCCCACTGTCCCCACGCCCCCCAGTGTCCCCAATGTCCCCACACCCCCCCATTGTCCCTAATGTCCCCACTGTCGCCAGACCCACCACAGCGCCATCCTGTCCTTGGGGTGCCGCAGCCTCTCGAGCCCTCCCAGCACCAGCGGCAGCGCGTGGGCCGCGTTCCGCGCCAGCAGCGCCACGGCCACGCGCGGCGGCCGCAGCGGCGACTCCGGGTTCCAGCGCTCCTCGGGGAAATACCCGAGGGCCGGGCCGGGCCCCAGCCCCAGCCCCAGGCGGAGCCGCCCGGAGGAGCCGCCCGGGTCCCGCTCCGGCCCCGCCAGCAGCAGCAGCAGCGGCAGCAGCGGCCACGGCCGCGCCGCCATCTTGGGCCGCCCTCACGGCAGGCCACGCCCTTCCCCCTCAGGCGCCTCACGATGGACACGCCCACACGCGCGCTGATTGGTTAATCCGCGCCGTGACCACGCCTATGATGCCATATATGGTGAAGCCGCGCCGCGTGTGTAGGCTTAGCGTGGCCACGCCCACTATGAGACCACGCCCCGTTTTTAGCTATATATGGGTATGATGCTTAGCCACGCCCACAAAGCCATATATGGGTCTGTGGATGATGGGAGACCACGCCCATTTTGTGACCATATATGGGAATGAGTTGTTGGCCACGCCCCCTGCTCCCCTCAGAGATTCCCTGTGGAAAATTTCATTTTCCGAGGATTTTTAACGCCGAATTTTCCCATTTTTGAAAAGGGTTTTAGCAGCAAAATTGCAAGGGGGAGTAAGGGGAAAAATGAGGGGGGAAAATGAGGGGGAAAAGGGGGGAAAATGGTGAAAAAAGAGGGAAAAAGGGGGAAAAAAAAAGGGGAAAAAAGGGGGAAAAAGGGAGGGAAATGGGGATAACGGAGGGAAAATGGAAATAAATGGAAATAAATGAGAATCAATGGGAATCAATGGGGGAAAAGGGGGGAAATGGGAAAAAAGGGGAAAAAGTTGGGAAAAAAGGGGCAAAAAGTGAAAATAAAGGAAAGAAATGGGAATTAAGGAGGAAAAAATGAGGAAAATGGAAATAAATGGGAATCAAGGGGGGAAAGGGGAAAAATGGGGGAAAAATGGGGGAAAAATAAGAGAAAAAAGTTGGGAATAAAAAGGGAAAAAAGGGGAGAAAAAAGGGAAAATAGGGAAAAGAAATGGGAATGAAGGAGGAAAAAAGAGGGGAAAAAAGGGAATTAAAAGGGAAAAAATGGGAATAAAAAGGGAAAATATGGAAAAGAAATGGGGATAAAGGAGGAAAATGGGAAAAAGGAGAAAAAAGAGGAAAAAATGGGAATAAAAAGGGAAAAAAGGGGAGAAGAAAGGGAAAAAAGGGAACAGAAATGGGAATGAAGGAGGAAAATGGGAAATGAGGGGAATCAAGGGGAGAAAAGGGAAAAAAAGGAGGGGAAAAAAGAGGAAAAAAATGGGAATAAAAAGGGAAAAAAGGGGGGAAAAAGGCCAAAAAAGGCCAAAAAAAGGGAGTAAAAGTGCAAAGCCAGGAATATTCAGGAGGAGAGGGATGGGCTGAGGCCGCTGGGATTTTTTTGGGATTTTTTGGGGATTTTTTTGGGATTTTTTTTGGATTTTTTGGGGCTGGAAAAGTCTGTAATGAAAGGTTCCTTTCAGAGGGAAACATTCCTGAGGGAAGGCGGCTGCTGCTGCAATTTCCTGCAGAAAAATCCGAATTTTTCAGCTCTTTTTTCTCCTTTTTAGCCCTCCCAGTTCATCCCAGTTCCTCCCAGTTCATCCCAGTTCAAATTCCCAATTTATTCCATGAACAAAGATGGAAAAATTCCCCATTTCTGCTCCCAAACAGACCCAAAATTTGGGTTTTTCAGCCCTTTTTTTGGCTCCAAATTGACCCAAAATTTGCTTTTTTCAACCCATTTTTCCTCCTTTTTACCCCTCCCAGTTTATCCCAGTTCAAATTCCCAATTTTTCCATGGATAAAGATGGAAAAATTCCCCATTTCTGCTCCCAAATTGACCCAAAATTTGCGTTTTTCAGCCCAATTTTCCTCCTTTTTATCCCTCCCAGTTTATCCCAGTCCAAATTCCCAATTTTCCCATGAATAAAAAGGGAAAATATTCCCATTCTTGGCTCCAAAATGACCCAAAATTTGCTTTTTTCAGCCCATTTTTTCTCCCTTTTATCCCTCCCAGTTCATCCCAGTTCATCCCAGTTCAAATTCCCAATTTTTCCATGAATAAAGAAGAAAAAAATCCCCATTTCTGCTCCCAAACAGACCCAAAATTTGCTTTTTTTCAGCCCATTTTTCCTCCTTTTTATTCATCCCAGTCCAAATTCCCAATTTTCCCATGGATAAAGATGGAAAAATTTCCCTTTTTTGGCTCCAAATTGACCCAAAATTTGCTTTTTTCAGCCCATTTTTCCTCCCTTTTATCCATCCCAGTCCAAATTCCCAATTTTCCCATGGAAAAAGAAGGAAATTTTTCCTTTTTCTGGCTCCAAATTGACCCAAAATTTGCTTTTTTCAGCCCATTTTTCCTCCTTTTTATCCCTCCCAGTTCATCCCAGTCCCTCCCAGTTTATCCCAGTTCAAATTCCCAATTTTTCCATGAATAAAGATGGAAAAATTCCCCATTTCTGCTCCCAAACAGACCCAAAATTTGGTTTTTTCAGCCCTTTTTTTGGCTCCAAATTGACCCAAAATTTGCTTTTTTCAGCCCATTTTTCCTCCTTTTTACCCCTCCCAGTTCATCCCAGTCCAAATTCCCAATTTTCCCATGGAAAAAGAAGGAAATTTTCCTTTTTTTTGCTCCAAATTGACCCAAAATTTGCTTTTTTTTCAGCCCAATTTTCCTCCTTTTTATCCCTCCCAGTTCATCCCAGTTCAAATTCCCAATTTTCCCATGGATAAAAAGGGAAAATATTCCCATTCTTGGCTCCAAATTGACCCAAAATTTGCTTTTTTCAGCCCATTTTTCCTCCTTTTTATCCCTCCCAGTCTCTCCCAGTCCCTCCCAGTTCATCCCAGTTCAAATTCCCAATTCTCCCATGGAAAAAGAAGGAAAATTTTCCTTTTTTTGGCTCCAAATTGACTCAAAATTTGCTTTTTTCAGCCCATTTTTCTCCTTTTTAGCCCTCCCAGTTCATCCCAGTTCAAATTCCCAATTTTCCCATAGAAAAAGAAGGAAAAATTCCCCATTTCTGCTCCCAAACAGACCCAAAATTTGCTTTTTTCAGCTCTTTTTTTTGGCTCCAAATTGACCCAAAATTTCCTTTTTTCAGCCCATTTTTCTCCTTTTTATCCCTCCCAGTTTATCCCAGTTCAAATTCCCAATTTTCCCATGAATAAAGAAGGAAAAAATTCCCATTTCTGCTCCCAAACAGACCCAAAATTTGCTTTTTTTAGCCCATTTTTCTCCTTTTTACCCCTCCCAGTTTATCCCAGTCCAAATTCCCGATTTTCCCATGGAAAAAGAAGGAAAATTTTCCTTTTTTTGGCTCCAAATTGACCCAAAATTTGCTTTTTTCAGCCCATTTTTCCTCCTTTTTATCCCTCCCAGTCTCTCCCAGTTCCTCCCAGTTTATCCCAGTTCAAATTCTCAATTTTCCCATAGAAAAAGAAGGAAAAATTTCCCATTTCTGCTCCCAAATGGACCCAAAATTTGCTTTTTTCAGCCCTTTTTTTGGCTCCAAATTGACCCAAACTTTCCTTTTTTCAGCCCATTTTCCTCCTTTTTATCCCTCCCAGTCCCTCCCAGTTCATCCCAGTTCAAATTCCCAATTTTCCCATGGATAAAAAGGGAAAATATTCCCATTCTTGGCTCCAAATTGACCCAAAATTTGCCTTTTTCAGCCCAATTTTCCTCCTTTTTATCCCTCCTTTTTATCCCAGTTCAAATTCCCAATTTTCCCATGGATAAAGATGGAAAAAATTCCCTTTTTTGGCTCCAAATTGAACCAAAATTTGCTTTTTTCAGCCCTTTTTTCTCCTGTTTATCCCTCCCAGTTCCTCCCAGTTCCTCCCAGTCCAAATATTCAATTTTCCCATGGATAAAGATGGAAAAATTCTCCATTTCTGCTCCCAAACAGACCCAAAATTTGGTTTTTTCAGCTCTTTTTTTGGCTCCAAATTGACCCAAAATTTCCTTTTTTCAGCCCATTTTTCTCCTTTTTATCCCTCCCAGTTGATCCCAGTTCAAATTCCCAATTTTCCCATGAATAAAGAAGGAAAAAATTCCCATTTCTGCTCCCAAACAGACCCAAAATTTGCTTTTTTTCAGCTCTTTTTCCTCCTTTTTATTCATCCCAGTCCAAATTCCCAATTTTCCCATGGATAAAAAAGGAAAATTTTCCTATTTTTGGCTCCAAACAGACCCAAAATTTGCTTTTTTCAGCCCAATTTTCTCCTTTTTATCCCTCCCAGTCCCTCCCAGTTCATCCCAGTTCAAATTCCCAACTTTTCCATGAATAAAGAAGGAAAAATTCCCCATTTCTGCTCCCAAACAGACCCAAAATTTGGTTTTTTCAGCCCATTTATCTCCTTTTTATCCCTCCCAGTCCCTCCCAGTCCCTCCCAGTTCAAATTCCCAATTTTCCCATGGAAAAAGAAGGAAAATTTTCCTTTTTTTGGTTCTAAACAGACCCAAAATTTGCTTTTTTCAGCCCTTTTTTTGGCTCCAAATTGACCCAAAATTTGCTTTTTTTTTAGCCCAATTTTCCTCCTTTTTATCCCTCCCAGTTCATCCCAGTCCAAATTCCCAATTTTCCCATGAATAAAGAAGGAAAAATTTCCCATTTCTGCTCCCAAACAGACCCAAAATTTGCTTTTTTTCAGCCCATTTTTCCTCCTTTTTATTCATCCCAGTCCAAATTCCCAATTTTCCCATGGAAAAAGAAGGAAAATTTTCCTTTTTTTGGCTCCAAATTGACCCAAAATTTGCTTTTTTCAGCCCATTTTTCCTCCTTTTTATCCATCCCAGTCCAAATTCCCAATTTTCCCATGGAAAAAGAAGGAAAATTTTCCTTTTTTTGGCTCCAAATTGACCCAAAATTTGCTTTTTTCAGCCCATTTTTTCTCCCTTTTATCCCTCCCAGTTCATCCCAGTCCAAATTCCCGATTTTCCCATGGATAAAAAAGGAAAATTTTCCTTTTTTTGGCTCCAAATTGACCCAAAATTTGCTTTTTTCAGCCCATTTTTCCTCCTTTTTATCCCTCCCAGTCCCTCCCAGTTCATCCCAGTTCAAATTCCCAATTTTCCATGAATAAAGAAGGAAAAATTCCCCATTTCTGCTCCCAAACAGACCCAAAATTTGCTTTTTTTCAGCCCATTTTTCTCCTTTTTATCCCTCCCAGTCCCTCCCAGTTCATCCCAGTTCAAATTCCCAATTTTCCCATGGATAAAAAGGGAAAATATTCCCATTTTTGGCTCCAAATTGACCCAAAATTTGCTTTTTTCAGCCCATTTTTCCTCCTTTTTATCCCTCCCAGTCTCTCCCAGTTCATCCCAGTTCATCCCAGTTCAAATTCCCAATTTTCCCATGGAAAAAGAAGGAAAATTTTCCTTTTTTTGGCTCCAAATTGACCCAAAATTTGCTTTTTTTAGCCCTTTTTATCCCTCCCTGTCCCTCCCATTTCAAATTCCCAGTTTTTCAATGGATAAAGATGGAAAAATTCCCCATTTCTGCTCCCAAACAGACCCAAAATTTGCTTTTTTCAGCCCATTTTTCTCCCTTTTATCCATCCCAGTCCAAATTCCCAATTTTCCCATGGAAAAAGAAGGAAAATTTTCCTTTTTTGGCTCCAAATTGACCCAAAATTTGCTTTTTTCAGCCCATTTTTCTCCTTTTTATCCCTCCCAGTTCATCCCAGTCCCTCCCAGTTTATCCCAGTTCAAATTCCCAACTTTTCCATGGATAAAGATGGAAAAATTCCCCATTTCTGCTCCCAAACAGACCCAAAATTTGGTTTTTTCAGCCCTTTTTTTGGCTCCAAATTGACCCAAAATTTGCTTTTTTCAGCCCATTTTTCTTCTTTTTACCCCTCCCAGTTTATCCCAGTCCAAATTCCCAATTTTCCCATGGAAAAAGAAGGAAATTTTTCCTATTTTTGGCTCCAAATTGACCCAAAATTTGCTTTTTTCAGCCCATTTTTCTCCTTTTTACCCTCCCAGTCCTCCCAGTTCATCCCAGTTCAAATTCCCAATTTTCCCATGGATAAAAAGGGAAAATATTCCCATTCTTGGCTCCAAATTGACCCAAATTTGCTTTTTTCAGCCCATTTTTCCTCCTTTTTATCCCTCCCAGTTCAAATTCCCAATTTTCCATGGATAAAGAAGGAAAAAATTCCCATTTCTGCTCCCAAACAGACCCAAAATTTGCTTTTTTCAGCCCATTTTCCTCCCTTTTATCCATCCCAGTCCAAATTCCCAATTTTCCCATGGAAAAAGAAGGGAAAATTTTCCTTTTTTTGGCTCCAAATTGACCCTAAAATTTGCTTTTTTCAGCCCATTTTTCCTCCTTTTTATCCCTCCCAGTTCTTCCCAGTCCCTCCCAGTTTATCCAAGGAATTCTCAGCCCAATTCCAGCTCAGCCGTTTATTCCACAAATAAATCAAAATAAAAGCTCCTAAAGCACCAAAATCCCAATTTTTTGGCCCATTTTGGTCCATTTTTCCTCTCCCAGTTGATCCCAGTTCCTGCTGGGATTCCCAGCCCCGCTCCCGATTTCAGAATTTTTGGATTTCTTTGATTTTTTGGGGTTTTTTTTGGGGTTTTTTTCATGGAATTTTGAGGATTTTCTGGGAATTTTCAGCTCAGCCAAAAGCGACCCCTGGTCCCAAAAGATTCAGGGAAAAAATCACCAAAAAAAAAAAAGAGTCCAAAAAATAAAATTAAAAGAGTTCAAAAATTCCAAAATATTCAGTCAAAAAATCAAAAAAAAAGAGTCAAAAATCCCCCAAAAAGAGTCCAAAAATCCCAAAAAATTCAGTCAAAAATCCCCAAAAAGAGTCCAAAAAAACCCCAAAAGAGTCTAAAAATTCCAAAATAAAAAGTCAAAAATAAAGAGTCCAGAAATTAAAAAAATCCCACAAAAAAGAGTCCAGAAATTCCCCAAAAAAGTCCAAAAATTCCAGAAAAATAAGTCAAAAAATCCCCAAAAAAGAGTCCAAAAACCCCCAAAAATCCAGTCCAAAAATCCCAGAAAAAGAATCCAAAACTTCAGCCAAAAAAACCCAAAAAATCCAGTCCAAAAATCAAAAAAATGCCCCCAAAAAAGAGTCCAAAAAATCCCAAAAACTTAGTCCAAAACCCCCCCAAAAAGTCCAAAAATTTAAAAAATTCCCCCCAAAAAAATCCCTCAAAAGCGTCCAAAGATTCTAAAATAAAAAGTCAAAAATCCCCCCAAAAATGAGTCCAAAAATCCCAAAAAATTCAGTCAAAAATCTCAAAAAAAGTCCAAAAATCCTCCCCAAAAAAAGTAAAAAAATCCCAAAAAAGTCCAAAAAATTCCCAAAAGAGCTCAAAAAATTCCCCAAAATCCAGTCAAAAATCAAAAAAAATCTCCCCAAAAATGTCCAAAAATCCCCAAAAAAGTCCAAAAATCACCAAAAAAAATCCAAAAATAATTTAAATAAAGAGTCCAAAAATCCCCAAAATTTGGTCCAAAATCCCCCAAAATTCACTCAAAAATCCCGAATAAAAGACTCCAAAAATGCCATTGGAATTCTCAATTCCTGGGATATTTTCCCATGGAAAATCCTCAATTCCTGGCACATTTTTCCCCATAAATAATTAATTAAAACCATTAATTAATTTCCATGGGAATTTTCACTTCCAGAACCGTTTTTCCTGGAATTTCTCTATTTTAAGGACATTTTTCCACGGAATTTCTCCATTTTAGGGACATTTTTGCCTGGAATTCCTCAATTTTAAGGACATTTTCCCACAGAATTACTCAATTTTAAGGACATTTTTGTGTGGAATTTCTCCATTTCAGGGACATTTTTCCATGGAATTTCTTCATTTTAGGGATGTTTATCCACAGAATTCATCAATTTTAAGGACATTTTGCCTGGAATTTCTCCATTTTGAGGACATTTTCCCATGAATTTCTCCATTTTGAGGACATTTTCCACAGAATTAATCATTTTTGTGGAAAATTTTAACCATTTTTCCATAAAATTAATCAATTTCTCCATTTTGAGGACATTTTTCCATGAATTTTCCCATGAATTTCTTCATTTTGAGGACATTTTTACCTGGAATTTCTCCATTTTAAAGCCATTTTTCCCTGAAATTTCTTCATTTTGAGGACATTTTTCCACAGAATTCCACCATTTACAGCCATTTTTCCATTAATTTCTCCATTTTGAGGACATTTTTCCACAGAATTTTTCCATTTTAAGGACATTTTTCCAAGAATTTTTCCATGAATTTCTCCATTTTAAGGACATTTTTCCACAGAATTCCTCAATTTTGGGACATTTTTCCATGGAATTTCTCCATTTTAGGGACATTTTTCCACAGAATTCATCAATTTTAAGGACATTTTTCCATTAATTTCTCCATTTCAAGAACATTTTTCCACAGAATTACTCAATTTTAAGGACATTTTACCTGGAATTTCTCAATTTTAAGGACATTTTTCCACAGAATTTCTCAATTTTAGGGACATTTTTCCATAGAATTTCTCCATTTTAAGGACATTTTTACCTGGAATTTCTCCATTTTGAGGACATTTTTCCACAGAATTCCACCATTTTAAAGCCATTTTTACCTGGAATTTCTCCATTTTAAGGACATTTTTACCTGGAATTTCTCCATTTTAAGGACATTTTTCCACAGAATTTCTCCATATTAAGAACATTTTTCCATGAATTTCTCCATTTTAAGGACATTTTCCCACAGAATTTCTCCATTTTAAAGCCATTTTTCCCTGGAATTCCACCCTTTTAGGGACATTTTCCCATGAATTCCCCCATTTTAAACCCATTTTCCCAGGAATTCCACCATTTTAAACCCATTTTCCCCACAGAATTTCACCATTTCACAGCCGTTTTTGCCCGAAATTCCGGGATTTCCCCATTTCAGGGCCCCTTTCCGGGGTCCCCGCTCAGCTCCGCCGCCGCCTCGCGGTCCAGGAGCCACCGGAGCCGCCCCGAGCGGGGGGCGGAGCCGCGCGGCCGGGACCGGGGGCTGCTCCTGCTGCTCCAGGATGCGCTGAAACAGAGCGGAAAACGCCGCTTTTAACCCCAAAAACGGGAGCTGAACCCCAAAAACGGCGATTTTAGACCCAAAACCGGAGATTTGAGACCCCAAAATGGCGGGTTTAGCCCCCAAAATAGCGATTTTCGCACCCCAAAATAGCGATTTTAGCCCCCAAAATGGCGGTTTTGAGACCCAAAAACAGCGATTTGAGAACCCCAAAATGGCGATTTTAGCCCCAAAAATGGCGATTTTAACCCCAAAAGTGGCGATTTTAGCCCCAAAAACCAGCGGGTTTAGCCTCAAAAAACGGCGATTTTAGCCCCCAAAATGGTGATTTAGGGCCCAAAAATGGCGATTTTAGCCCCAAAAAGCAGCGGTTTTAGCCTCAAAAATGGCGATTTTAGCCCCCAAAAATGGCGATTTTAGCCCCCAAAAATGGCGATTTTAGCCTCAAAACCGGCGATTTTAGCCCCCAAAATGGCAATTTTAGCCTCAAAACCGGCGATTTCAGCCCCAAAAATGGCGGGTTTAGCCCCCAGACACAGCGATTTTAGCCTCAAAAATGGCAGTTTTAGGCCCAAAACCAGCGATTTTAGCCCCAAAAATAATGATTTTAGGCCCAAAAATGGCGGGTTTAGCCCCAAAAACGGCGATTTTAGCCTCAAAAATGGCAATTTTAGCCTCAAAAAATGGCGATTTTAGCCTCAAAAAAGGCGGGTTTTAGCCTTAAAAAAATGGCGGTTTTAGCCTCAAAACTGGCAGTTTTATCTTCAAAAATGGCGGCTTTAGCCCCAAACACGGCGGTTTAAGCCCCAAAAAATGGCGATTTTAACCCCAAAAGCGGCGATTTTAGCCCCAAAAACCAGCGGGTTTAGCCTCAAAAACGGCGATTTTCCCTCAAAAATGGCGATTTTAGCCCCCAAAATAGTGATTTAGGGCCCAAAAATGGCGATTTGAGACCCAAAAATGGCGGGTTTAGCCCCAAAAATAGCGATTTTAGCACCCCAAAATAGCGATTTTAGCCCCCAAAATGGCGGTTTGAGACCCAAAAACAGCGAGTAATTTGAGAACCCCAAAATGGCGATTTTAGCCCCCAAAATGGCAATTTTAGCCCCAAAAATGGCGATTTTAACCCCAAAAGCGGCGATTTTAGCCCCAAAGAACAGCGGGTTTAGCCACAACAATGGCGATTTTAGCCCCCAACACGGTGATTTTAGCCCCAAAAATAGCGATTTTAGCACCCCAAAATGGCGATTCTAGCCCAAAAAATGGCGATTTTAGCCCCCAAAATGGCAATTCTAGCCCCAAAAACGGTGGGTGTGGCCTCCAAAATGGCGATTTTAGCCCCCAAAAATGGCGATTTTAGCCTCAAAAATGGCGATTTTAGCCCCCAAAAACGGCGATTTGAGACCCCAAAATGGCGATTTTACCCCCAAAATGGCGGTTTCAGCCCCCAAAACCGGCGATTTCAGCCCCAAAAGCAGAGGTTTTAGCCCCAAAAATGGCGATTTTAGCCTCAAAAATGGCGGGTTTAGCCCCCAGACACAGCGATTTTAGCCTCAAAAATGGCAGTTTTAGGCCCAAAACCAGCGAATTTAGCCCCAAAAATAATGATTTTAGGCCCAAAAATGGCGGGTTTAGCCCCAAAAACGGCGATTTTAGCCCCCAAAATGGCAATTTTAGCCTCAAAACCGGCGATTTTAGCCCAAAAACGGCGATTTGAGACCCCAAAATGGCGATTTTAGCCCCAAAAATGGCGGGTTTAGCCCCAAAAATAGCGATTTTAGCACCCCAAAATAGCGATTTTAGCCCCCAAAATGGCGGTTTGAGACCCAAAACAGCGATTTGAGAACCCCAAAATGGCGATTTTAGCCTCAAAACCGGCGATTTCAGCCCCAAAAATGGCAGTTTTAGCCCCAAAAATGGCGGGTTTAGCCCCCAGACACAGCGATTTTAGCCTCAAAAATGGCAGTTTTAGGCCCAAAACCAGCGATTTTAGTCCCAAAAATAATGATTTTAGCACCCCAAAATGGCGATTCTAGCCCCAGAAACGGCGATTTTTGCCTCAAATGTGGCGGGTTCAGCCCCAAAATTGGTGATTTTAGCCCCAAAAAACAGAGGGTCTAGCCTCAAAAAAATGGCGATTTTAGCCTCAAAAACGGCGATTTTGAGACCCAAAAATGGCGATTTTACCCCCAAAATGGCGGTTTCAGCCCCCAAAACCGGCGATTTCAGCCCCAAAAATGGCGGGTTTAGCCCCCAGACACAGCGATTTTAGCCTCAAAAATGGCAGTTTTAGGCCCAAAACCAGCGATTTTAGCCCCAAAAATAATGATTTTAGGCCCAAAACCAGCGATTTTAGCCCCAAAAATGGCGATTTTAGCACCCCAAAATGGCGATTCTAGCCCCAGAAACGGCGATTTTTGCCTCAAAAATGGCGGGTTTAGCCCCAAAAATGGCGGGTTTAGCCCCAAAAAACAGAGGGTCTAGCCTCAAAAAATGGCGATTTTAGCCTCAAAAATGGCGATTTTAGCCCCCAAAATGGTGATTTAGGGCCCAAAACTGGCGATTTTGGCCCCAAAAATGGCGGGTTTAGCCCCAAAATGGCGATTTTAGCCTCAAAAACAGCGGGTTTAGCCTCAAAAATGGCGATTTTAGCCCCAAACACGGCGATTTTAACTCCAAAAATGGCGATTTTATGCCCAAAAGTGGAGATTTTAGCCCCAAAAATAGGCAAATGAGCCCCAGCCATAGAGAGTTCAGCCTCCCAAAAATTGAGAGTTCAACGTGGGAGTTGAACCCCAAAAATGGGAAAATTAAGCCCAAAACGAATTGACCCCAAAAATCTGAAAATTTGAGCTCAAAATCCCCAGAAAGAACTGCAAAAATCTGGATTTAACCCCCAAAAATCATCGATTTAACCCAAAAAAAAATTGATTTCACCCCAAAAATCAGGGATTTCAGCCCAAAATTTGTGATTTTGCCCAAAATTTCAGGATTTGAGCCCAAACCTTGATCACGGGGGGCCTTGGAGGCGCCGGTGGCCACGACCAGCAGGGATTGGGCAGAGTTGAGAAATGGGAATGAACCCCAAAAATCTGGGATTTCACCCCAAAATTCTGGGACTAAACCCCAAAAATCCTGGAATTAACCCCAAAAATCTGGATTTCACCTCAAAAATCTGGGATTTGACTCCAAATTCCCAGGAATTAACCCCAAAAATCTGAAAATTTGAGCTCAAAATCCTCAGAAGGAACAGCAAAAATCTGGGATTTCACCCCAAAAATTCCGGATTTAACCCCAAAAAATCCCAGATTTAACCCCAAAATTTCCAGATTTAAGCCCCAAAAAATGGGATTTTGCCCAAAATTTCAGGATTTGAGCCCAAACCTTGATGACGGGGGCCTTGGAGGCGCTGGTGGCCACGAGCAGCAGGGATTGGGCGGCGTTGAGAAATGGGAATGAACCCCAAAAATCTGGAATTTCACCCCAAATTCCCAGGAATTAGGCCCAAAAATCTGGGATTTCACCTCAAAAATCTGGGATTTGACCCCAAATTCCCAGGAATTAACCCCAAAAATCTGGGAATGAACCTCAAAAATCTGAAAATTTGAGCTCAAAATCCCCAGAAAAAGCTCAAAAAATCTGAGATTTAACGCCCAAAAAATCAGATTTCACCCCAAAAATCTGGGATTTAACCCCAAAAATCTGGGATTTCACCCCCAAAATTTGTGATTTTGCCCAAAATTTCGGGATTTGAGCCCAAACCTTGATCACGGGGGCCTTGGAGGCGCCGGTGGCCACCACCAGCAGGGATTGGGCAGCGTTGAGCAATGGGAATGAACCCCAAAAATCTGGGATTTCACCCCAAAATTCTGGGAATTAACCCAAAAAATCTGCGACTAAACCCAAAAACCTGGGAATTTACCCCAAAAATCCTGGAATTAACCCCAAAAATCTGAAAATTTGAGCTCAAAATCCTCAGAAAGAACTGCAAATATATGGAATTTAACCTCAAAAAAACAGGATTTAACCCAAAAAATCCCTGATTTAACCCCAAAAAATCCCAGATTTAAGCCCCAAAAAATGGGATTTTGCCCAAAATTTCGGGATTTGAGCCCAAACCTTGATCACAGGGGCCTTGGAGGCGCCGGTGGCCACGAGCAGCAGGGATTGGGCGGCGTTGAGCAGCGGCAGCGTCATCGTCACCCGCTGGGGAGGCGGCTTGGGAGAGTCCTCCAGGAAGGAAATGAGGGAATCCTGCTCCTGGAAACGGGGCAAAAAACGGGGAAATTGGGAAAAATCCCGGGGGAAAGCATGGGGGAAATAATGGGGGAAATAGCACAAAAAATGGGGACAATAATGGGGAAAAACGGGGAAAATACAGGGGAAAATAATGGGGAAAATGGGGAAAATAATGGGAAAATAATGGGAAAATAATAGAAAAAATCATGGGGAAAATAGCACAAAAAATGGGGAAAATAATGGGAAAAAATGGGGAAAATACAGGAGAAAATAATGGGGGAAATGGGGAAAATAACGCGAAAAATGATATGAAAATAATGGGGAAATAATGGGAAAATAATGGGAAAAATAATGCGAAAAATAATAGGGAAAATAGCACATAAATGGGGAAAATCCAGGAGAAAATAATGGGAAAATAATGGGGAAATAATGGGGAAAATAATAGAAAAAATAATGGGGAAAATAGCACAAAAAATGGGGAAAATAATGGGGAAAATGGGGAAAAATCCAGGGGAAAATAACACAAAAATGGGAAAAATAATGGGAAAGGAGGAACCCCTGGGGAGGGGCTTGGGAGAGTCCTCCAGGAAGGAAATGAGGGAATCCTGCTCCTGGAAATGGGGCAAAAAACGGGGAAATTGGGAAAAATCCCGGGGGAAAGCATGGGGGAAATAATGGGAGAAATAACGGGGAAAATAGCACAAAAAATGGGGGAAATAATGGGGAAAATAGCACAAAAAATGGGGAAAATAATGGGAAAGGAGGAACCCCTGGGGAGGCGGCTTGGGAGAGTCCTCCAGGAAGGAAATGAGGGAATCCTGCTCCTGGAAATGGGGCAAAAAACGGGGAAATTGGGAAAAATCCCGGGGGAAAGCATGGGGGAAAAACCAGGGGAAAAGAGCACGAAAAATGGGGGAAATAATGGGGGAAATGGGGGAAATATGGGAGAAAATAATGGGGGAAATGGGGAAAATAATACGAAAAATGATATGAAAATAATGGGGAAATAATGGGAAAATAATGGGGAAAATAATGGGGAAAATAATAGAAAAAATCATGGGGAAAACAGCACAAAAAATGGGGAAAATAATGGGAGATATAATGGGGAAAATCCAGGAGAAAATAATGGGGGAAATGGGGAAAATAATGGGAAAAATGATATGAAAATAATGGGGAAATAATGGAAAAATAATGAGAAAAATAATGAGGAAAATAATGGGAAAAATAATGAGAAAAATAATAGGGAAAATAGCACATAAATGGGGAAAATCCAGGAGAAAATAATGGGGAAATAATGGGGAAATAATGGGGAAAATAATAGAAAAAATAATGGGGAAAATAGCACAAAAAATGGGGAAAATAATGGGAAAAAACGGGGAAAATACAGGGGAAAATAATGGGGAAAATGGGGAAAATAATGGGAAAAATTATATGAAAATAATGGGAAAATAATGGGGAAAAATGGGGAAAATCTGGGTGAAAATAATGGGAAAAATAGCACAAAAATTGGGAATAATAATGGGGAAAATCAGGAGAAAATAATAGGGAAAATACAGGAGAAAATAATGGGGGAAATAGGGAAAATAATGGGAAAAATTATATGAAAATAATGGGGAAAATAATGGGGAAAATAATGGGGAAAATCAGGAGAAAATAATGGGGAAAAATGGGGAAAATCCGGGTGAAAATAATGGGGAAAATAGCACAAAAAATGGGAAAAATAATGGGGAAGATAATGGGAAAAAATGGGGGAAATACAGGAGAAAATAATGGGGGAAATGGGGAAAATAATGGGAAAAATGATATGAAAATAATGGGAAAATAATGGGGAAAATAATGGGGAAAATGGGGGAAAATACAGGAGAAAATAATGGGGAAAATGATGGGAAAAATGGGGAAAATAACGGGAAAATGGGAAAATAATGGGGAAAAAGGGAAAATACCAGGAAAGCAGGAGAAAGGGAGGGGACTGGTGGAGAATTCCCAGCATTTCAGGAACTCCCAGCATTCCCAGAATTCCCGGAATTTCAGGAATTCCCGGAATTCCCAGAATTCCTGGCATTTCAGGAATTCCTGGAACTCCAGGAATTCCAGGAATTCCCAGCATTTCCGGAATTCCCGGAATTTCAGGAACTCCCAGAATTTCGGGAATTCCCAGCATTTCTGTAATTTCAGGAATTCCCAGAATGTCAGGAATTCCCAGGTTTCAGGAATTTCTGGAATTTCCAGCATTTCAGGGATTCCCAGCATTTCAGGAACTCCCAGAATTTCAGGAATTCCCCGGATTTCAGGAATTCCCGGAATTTCAGGAACTCCCGGCATTTCTGGAATTCCCAGCATTTCAGGAACTCCCAGCATTCCCGGCATTCCCAGAATTCCCAGCATTCCTGGTTTTTCAGGAACTCCCAGAATTCCCGGGTTTTCAGGCATTCCCAGCATTCCTGGCGTTCCCAGCATTCCCAGAGATCCCAGAACTCCCAGCATTCCCGGTTTTTCAGGAATTCCCAGCATTCCCGGTGGGCGGGGCTGACCTGGAGCAGGGCGTGGCCTGGGAACAGCGAGGCCGTGTGACCGTCAGGCCCCACCCCCAGCAGCAGCGCGTCAAAACGGGGCGGGGCCTGGCCTGGGAACGCCTGCGGGGACAGCAGAAACCAGTAAAAACCAGTAGGGACCAGTATGGACCAGTATAAACCAGTAGGGACCAGTATGGAGCAGTACGGACCAGTATGGACCAGTTCAGATCAGCATAAACCAGTATGGACCAGTACGGGTCAATATGGAGCAGTAGGGACCAGTATGGACCAGTATGGATCAATATGGACCAGTATGGACCAGTTCGGACCAGTATGGACCAGTTCAGGCCAGTATGGACCAGTATGGAGCAGTACAAATTGATATGAATCAGTATGGACCAGAACGGACGAGTATGGAGTAGTTCACACCAGTACGGACCAGTACGGACCAGTATGGACCAGTATGGATCAATATTGATCTATATAAACCAATATGGATCAATATGGATTGGTATGGACCAGTTCAGACCAGTTCGGACCAGTACAGACCAGTACAGACCAGTATGGATCAATGTGGATCCATATGGATCGATATAAACCAGTACGGATCAATGTGGACCAGTACGGACCAGTATGGACCAGTATGGAGCAGTAGAGATTGATATGGATCAGTATGGATGAGTATGGACAAGTTCAGACCAGTATGGACCAGTATAAACCAGTATGGAGCAGTACAGATCAATATGGATTCATAGAGACCAGTACGGATCAGTATGGATCAATACAAACCAGTAGAGACCAGTATGGATCAATATGGATTGGTATGGACCAGTATGGACCAGTATGGACCAGTTCAAATCAGCATAAACCAGTATGGACCAGTACGGACCAGTATGGATCAATATAAACCAGTAGAGACCAGTTTGGACCAGTATGGATTGGTATGGAGCAGTTCGGACCAGTATGGAGCAGTTTGGGTCAATATGGATCAGTACAGACCAGTATGGACCAGTTCAGATCAGCATAGACCAGTACGGACCAGTATGGACCAGTTCAGATCAGTATAGACCAGTATGGACCAGTATGGACCAGTTCAGATCAGTATAGACCAGTATGGACCCGTATGGACCAGGGACGATCCCAGTATTCCCCAATCCCCCCCAGCATTCCCAGTCTCTCCCAGTCTCTCCCAGTCTCTCCCAGTCCATCCCAGTCCCCCCTAGTCCCACTGCCAGTGATCCCAGTCCCTCCCAGTCCATCCCAGTGCCATTCCCAGTGCTCCCAGTCCCATTCCCAGTGCTCCCAGTCCCACTGCCAGTGATCCCAGTCCCTCCCAGTCCATCCCAGTGCCCCCAGTATCCCCAGTCCCATTCCCAGTGCTCCCAGTCCCACTGCCAGTGATCCCAGTCCATCCCAGTCCCTCCCAGTGCCCATTCCCAGTGCTCCCAGTCCCCCCAGTCCCATTCCCAGTGCTCCCAGTCCCATTCCCAGTGCTCCCAGTCCCACTCCCAGTGCTCCCAGTCCCACTCCCAGTGCTCCCAGTCCCATTCCCAGTGCTCCCAGTCCCACTCCCAGTATCCCCAGTCCCACTCCCAGTGCTCCCAGTCCCACTCCCAGTGCTCCCAGTCCCATTCCCAGTGCTCCCAGTCCCTCCCAGTATCCCCAGTCCCACTCCCAGTGCTCCCAGTCCCATTCCCAGTGCTCCCAATCCCATTCCCAGTCCCTCCCAGTATCCCCAGTCCCACTCCCAGTGCTCCCAGTCCATTCCCAGTGCCCCCAGTCCATTCCCAGTGCCCCCAGTCCATTCCCAGTGCTCCCAGTCCACTCCCAGTGCCCCCAGTCTCCATTCCCAGTCCCTCCCAGTGCCCATTCCCAGTGCTCCCAGTCCCATTCCCAGTGCTCCCAGTCCCATTCCCAGTGCTCCCAGTCCCTCCCAGTGCTCCCAGTCCCACTCCCAGTATCCCCAGTCCCACTCCCAGTGCTCCCAGTCCCACTCCCAGTGCTCCCAGTCCCATTCCCAGTGCTCCCAGTCCCATTCCCAGTCCCCCCAGTCTCCATTCCCAGTGCTCCCAGTCCCTCCCAGTGCTCCCAGTATCCCCAGTACCTTCCTGAGCTGCTCCTCGTAGTCCCGGGCGGCCTCGGCCGGGCCCAGCTCGGAACGGACCCAGAGCACCTGGGGGGGGGCATCAAACTGGGGCAGCAGCTGGGCCTGAAGGGGTTAAACTGGTTAAACTGGGAAGGGGTAAACTGGTTAAACTGGGACAGGAGCTGGGCCTGAAGGGGTTAAACTGGTTAAACTGGGAGCACTGGAATGGGTTAAACTGGGCAAACTGGTTAAACTGGGGCAGCAGCTGGGCCTGAAGGGGTTAAACTGGTTAAACTGGGCAAACTGGGACAGCAGCTGGGCCTGAAGGGGTTAAACTGGTTAAACTGGGAAGGGTTAAACTGGTTAAACTGGGACAGGAGCTGGGCCTGAAGGGGTTAAACTGGGTAAACTGGGAAGGGTTAAACTGGGCAAACTGGGCAAACTGGGACAGCAGCTGGGCCTGAAGGGGTTAAACTGGGAAGGGTTAAACTGGTTGAACTGGGAGCACTGGAATGGGTTAAACTGGTTAAACTGGGAGCACTGGGACAGCAGCTGGGGGCCAAGGGGCTCAAACTGGGAATGGGTTAAAAACGTTACTGGGAAGGACTGGGGGGAACTGGGCCAAACTGGGAGGAACTGGGAAAAGCTGAAGGGAGTCAGGAGCCAAACTGGGTCAAACTGGGAGCACTGGGAGGAGCTGAGGGGAGTCAGGGGAGACTGAGAGGAAAATGGGGGGAACTGGGCCAGACTGGGCCAGACTGGGAGGGACTGGGCCAAACTGGGCCAGACTGGGAGGAACTGGGCCAAACTGGGCCAGACTGGGAGGAGCTGAGGGGAATCAAGAGGGACTGGGAAGGGACTGGGAAGGGACTGGGGGAACTGAGGGGGGAACTGGGCCAAACTGGGAGGAACTGGGAGCACTGGGAGGCACTGAGAGAGACTGGGAGGGAAATGGGAGGAACTGGGCCAGACTGGGAGGGACTGGGAGCACTGGGAGGGACTGAGGGGGGTCAGGAGAGACTGGGAGGGAAATGGGGGGAACTGGGCCAAACTGGGAGGGACTGGGAGGAACTGGGAGGGACTGAGAGAGGATGGGAGGCGTTGAGGGGAGTGAGGAGGGACCAGAAGGGAACTGGGGGGAACTGGGCCAGACTGGGCTGAACTGGGCCAAACTGGGAGGAGCTGAGGGGAGTCAGGAGCGACTGAGAAGGGATTGAAGGGAACTGGGACAGACTGGGCCAAACTGGGAGGCACTGGGAGCACTGGGAGGGACTGGGAGGAGCTGAGGAGACACTGAGAGGGACATGGGGGGACTGAGGGGGGAACTGGGCCAGACTGGGAGGGATTGGGCCAAACTGGGCCAAACTGGGAGGGATTGGGAGGAGCTGAGAGGAGTCAGGAGGGACATGAGGACACTGAGGGTGTAACTGGGCCAAACTGGGAGGGACTGGGAGCACTGGAAGGAACTGGGAGCACTGGGAAAAGCTGAGGGGAGTCAGGAGAGAGCGGGAGGGGATTGAGGGGAACTGGGCCAGACTGGGAGGGACTGGGAGGGATTGGGCCAAACTGGGCCAAACTGGGAGGGATTGGGAGGAGCCGAGGGGAGTCAGGAGGGACCGGGAGGGGATTGAGCGGAACTGAGGGGGGAACTGGGCCAGACTGGGCCAAACTGGGAGTAACTGGGCCAGACTGGGAGGAGCTGAGGGGAGTCAGGAGAGAGCGGGAGGGGATTGAGGGGAACTGGGCCAAACTGGGAGGCACTGGGAGCACTGGAAGGAACTGGGAGCACTGGGAAAAGCTGAGGGGAGTCAGGAGAGACCCGGAGGGCCAAACTGGGAGGGACTGGGAGGGATTGGGCCAAACTGGGAGCACTGGGAGGAGCTGAGGGGAGTCAGGAGAGACCGGGAGGGGATTGAGGGGAACTGGGCCAAACTGGGAGGGACTGGCGGAGCCCCGGAGCCCCTGGCGGAGCCGCGCTCACCCGGTAGGCGCCGCCGGTGCTCTCGGGGTGCTCGGGCGGCACCAGGCGCTCATCGCAGAACGCCACGAGCCAGCGGCTCGGATCGGAACCGGGCACGGCCCTGAGGGCGGGCGGCAGCTCCCGCGCCAGCAGCGGCACCATCGAGCCCCCGGACAGCCCCAGCGTGAAGCGGCCGCTGCTCGCCACCGCCTCGGCCGCCGCCTCCGCCACCAACCGCGCCAGGGCCGCGCCGAGCTCGCTTTGGGACGGGAACACCGACACGGCCGCCATGATGGCGGCGCCGGGGAGGGAGGAGGAAGAAGAAAGAGGAAGTGACGTCAGCAGCGCGACGCGTTGCTGAGCGACCAGGGCAGGGAGTTGCGTCAGAGCGCGACGCGTTGCTTAGCAACGCGCGGCCTAGCGCGGCCTAGTGAAGCCTCGGCCTCGCGTGGCGGCGCTGCCCGGAGGAGCGCGGTTCCCTCGCTGCCCTTCTCCCGCTCCACCCCCACACAAACCTCCCTCGCTGTTCCCCCGAGCCCCGCAGCACAGCACGCGGCGCAGTCGCTGGGTTTTAATGGCCTCGCGGTCAGGCACAACCAAACGGAGCGAATCGGGTTAAAAACGGCCCGATTGGGTTAATTGCAATAAATATGTCCGTGCTGGCACAAAGGAGTCCCTAGAGGGGTTAATTAGGCACGAATTAGTCGTTAATTAACGCTGTCGGAGTTAATTAGCGCCTGTGAGGGCGAGTCCCGCTTTTCCTTGGAATTCTGCTGTTTTCCCTCAGAAAAAAAGTCACAATTTTCCTGGAAATTCCTGGGAATTCTGCTGGGTTCCTCCTGGATCCTCGGGAACGCCGCTGTTCTACAGTCAAATCTGTTTTTATCCTCCAAATCCCTCAGTTTTCCTGGGAATTCTGCGGTTTTCCAGGAAATCCTACAATTTTTCCTGGGAATTGTGTTGTTTTAGAAGAAATCCCTCCATTTTTTCCTGGGCATTTCTGCTGTTTTCCAGAAAATCCAGGGGGGTTCCCAACAGCATTTTTGAGTTTTTGGGATCCCAGGGAGGTTTCTCAGCATGATTTTCAGCTTTTTTCAATGGGATTTTCGGGTTTTTCAGCAGAATTTTCAGGTTTTTCAGTATTCCAGGCTGGTTTTTTTCAGATCCCAGCAGGATTTTCAGGTTTCTCAGCAGGAATTTTGGGCTCAGAACCCGGATTTCCCGGAGCAGAGTCGTTTGTGCATCTCCCATTCTGGGGAATTTTTGATTTTTTTGGGATCCCTGGAGTTTTCTGGGACCCCAAAATCCCGTGACCCCCAAACCAAAACCCCAAAAATCCCATATCAATCATTTTGATTGACGCAAACGAGGGCCAATCAGAACAAAGCACCGCCCAAACCCGGAAGAAAAACACCTCAGGAAGGGTCTCACCCCCTCCGCTCTTTGATTGGCTGAGCCCTCTGATTGACAGCCCCAGCAACCAATCACCACCGCGCGCCCCCAAACCCGGAAGCGCCGAGGTAAAGCCCAAAACCCGGGAACATTTTGAGGCAAAACCGAGAAATTTTGGGATTTTCCTTTTTTTATTTTCATTCCCTCTCCTCGGGCAGCGCCTTTTGGGGCCTCTTCTGCAGCAACTTCCGCGCTGGGGATCCCTGCAGCCTCCGGAACGCTCTGGAAGCTGCAAAAAAACCCCCAAAAATTTCCCGCCCAGAATTTCCAGGATTTTGGCCAATTTTGGGCGAATTTTTGTGGGTTTTTTTCTCACCCAGCTGCTCCGAGAGGCCGCTGAGGAAGCTCCTGCTCTGCTGGTGGAATTCCAGCACCATTTTCCCGGCTTGTTGTGCCTCATCCACCTGGGAAAAACCCAAAAATTCCCCAAAAAATCGCCAAAAATCGGGGGGAAATTGGGGGATTTTGCCAAATTTGGGGTTTTTTGCCCCAGAATTCTGACCAGGAGGCGGAGCTGGTGCAGGGCCGGGCGCTGCTGGGCCAGGACGGAGCCGTAGTCGGGTCTGGGGCCCGGGAGGGGGGAGGGGAGAGCGGGGGGAGGGGCAAAGGGGGCGGGGCCAGAGCGGAGCTGCTGCAGAAACCTGGGGGGAAAATGGGGAAAAAATGGGGATTTTGGGCAAATGGGGAAAATGGGGGAAATGGGGATTTGGGCAAAATGGGGGAAAATGGGGATTTTGGGGAAATGGGGAAAATGGGGGAAATGGGGATTTGGGCAAAATGGGGGAAAAATGGGGATTTTGGGAAAATGGGGATTTTGGGGAAAAATGGGGGAAAATGGGGATTTTGGAAAAATGGGGAAAATGGGGATTTGGGGGAAAATGGGGATTTTGGGGGAAAAATGGGGATTTTGGGAAAATGGGGAAAAATGGGGGAAAATTGGGATTTTGGGCAAATGGGGAAAATGGGGGAAAATGGGGATTTTGGGCAAAATGGGAAAAATGGGGGGAAATGGGGATTTTGGAAAAAATGGGAAAAATGGGGGGAAATGGGGATTTTGGAAAAAATGGGGATTTTGGGCAAAATGGGGAAAATGGGGATTTGGGGGAAATGGGGAAAACTGGGGGAAATTGGGGAAAATGGGGACTTTGGGGGAAAATGGGGATTTGGGGATAAATGTGGGAATTTTGGGGATAAATTTGGTGATTTGGGGGATAAATGTGGCAATTTTGGGATTTGAGGTGGGAATTTTGGGAATAAAAGGGGGGAATTTGGGGGTTAAATTTGGGGATTTTGGGGATGAATGTGGGAATTTTGGGGGCTCAAAGGGGAAATTTGGGGATTTGAGGTGGGAAATGTGGGAATTTTGGGGTTCAAGAGGGGAATTTTGGGGTTCAAAAGGGGAATTTGGGGCTCCCTGTGGGATTTTGGGGACAAATGTGTGAATTTGGGGACCAATGTGTGAATTTTGGGGTTAAAAAGGGGAATTTTGGGGATCAATGTGTGAATTTTGGGGATAAAAGGGGGAATTTTGGGATTTGAGGTGGGAATTTTGGGAATAAAAGGGAGGAATTGGGATAAATGTGGGGATTTTGGGATAAATGTGGGAATTTTGGGGATCAGTGTGGGAATTTTGGGGATCAATGTGGGGATTTTGGGATAAATTTGGGGATTTTGGGGATCAATGTGGGAATTTTGGGAATGTTGGGGACCACTGTGGGAATTTTGGGAATAAAAGGGGAGACTTTGGGATAAAATGGGGAATTTTGGGATAAAAGGGAGGAATTTGGGGAAAAATTTGGGGACAAATGTGTGGATTTGGGGCTCCCCGTGGGATTTTGGGGACCAATGTGGGATTTTGGGGTTAAAAAGGGGAATTGTGGGGTTCAAAAGGGGAATTTTGGGGATTAAAGAGGGGATTTTGGGGTTAAAGAGGGGAATTTGGGATTCAAAAGGGGAATTTTGGGGTTCAAAAGGGGAATTTGGGGCTCCCTGTGGGATTTTGGGGACAAATGTGTGAATTTTGGGGTTAAAGAGGGGAATTTTGGGGTTCAAAGGGGAATTGTGGGGTTCAAAAGGGGAATTTGGGGTTCAAAAGGGGAATTTTGGGGTTAAAGGGGGAATTTTGGGGTTCAAAAGGGGAATTTGGGGCTCCCTGTGGGATTTTGGGGACAAATGTGGGAATTTTGGGGTTTAAAAGGGGAATTTGGGGTTCAAAAGGGGAATTTTGGGATTAAAGAGGGAAATTTGGGGGTTAAAGGGGGAATTTTGGGGTTCAAGAGGGGAATTTTGGGGTTCAAGAGGGGAATTTTGGGGTTCAAAAGGGGAATTTGGTGTTAGAAATGGGAATTTGGGGTTCAAAAGGGGAATTTTGGGGATCAATGTGGGAATTTTGGGGTTTAAAAGGGGAATTTGGGGTTCAAGGTGTGAATTTTGGGGTTCAAAAGGGGAATTTTGGGGCTCAAAAGGGAATTTGGGGTTAAAAGGGGAATTTTGGGGTTCAAAAGGGAAATTTTGGGGTTCAAAAGGGGAATTTGGGGTTCAAAAGGGGAATTTTGGGGTTCAAAGGGGAATTTTGGGGTTAAAGGGGGAATTTTGGGGTTCAAAAGGGGAATTTGGGGCTCCCTGTGGGATTTTGGGGACAAATGTGTGAATTTGGGGACCAATGTGGGATTTTGGGGTTAAGAAGGGGAATTTTGGGGTTAAAAAGGGGAATTTTGGGATTAAAGAGGGGAATTTGGGGACAAATGTGGGAATTTTGGGGTTCAATGTGTGAATTTTGGGGTTCAAAAGGGGAATTTTGGGGTTCAATGTGTGAATTTTGGGGTTCAATGTGGGATTTTTGGGGTTCAAAAGGGGAATTTGGGGTTCAATGTGGGATTTTTGGGGTTCAATGTGTGAATTTTGGGGTTCAATGTGTGAATTTTGGGGTTCAATGTGGGATTTTTGGAGTTCAAGGTGTGAATTTTGGGGTTCAATGTGTGAATTTTGGGGTTCAAAGGGGAATTTTGGGGTTCAATGTGTGAATTTTGGGGCTCAAAAGGGGAATTTTGGGGTTCAAAGGGGAATTTTGGGGTTCAATGTGTGAATTTTGGGGCTCAAAAGGGGAATTTGGGGTTCAAAGGGGAATTTTGGGGTTAAGGGGGGAATGTGGGGTTCAAAAGGGGAATTTTGGGGTTCAAAAGGGGAATTTTGGGGACCAATGTGTGAATTTTGGGGTTAAAGGGGGAATTTTGGGGTTCAATGTGTGAATTTTGGGGTTAAAAAGGGGAATTTTGGGGACCAATGTGTGAATTTTGGGGTTAAAGGGGAATTTTGGGGTTAAAGGGGGAATTTTGGGGTTCAATGTGGGATTTTTGGGGTTCAATGTGGGATTTTTGGGGTTCAATGTGTGAATTTTGGGGTTCAATGTGGGATTTTTGGGGTTCAATGTGTGAATTTTGGGGTTCAATGTGTGAATTTTGGGGTTCAATGTGTGAATTTTGGGGTTCAATGTGGGATTTTTGGGGCTCCCTGTGCCCTCTCACCCCGAGGTCTCCTGGCTGCGCTCCCGGTGCTGCTGCAGGAGCCGATCCCAGGCCTGGAGCTCCCCTGAGAGACTGAGGGGACAGGAGGGGACAGACGGACACAGGGACAGAGGGACACAGGGACAGGGGACAGGGACGGGGACAGACGGACACAGGGACAGAGGGACACAGGGACAGAGACAGACACAGGGACAGGGACAGAAGGACAGAGGGACACAGGGGACAGGGACAGACGGACACAGGGACAGGGACAGACGGACACAGGGACAGGGACAGATGGACACAGGGGACAGAGGGGACAGATGGACACAGGGACAGAGGGACAGGGACAGGGGGGACAGGGACAGAGGGACAGGGACAGAGGGACAGGGACAGGGACAGACGGACAGGGACAGGGGACAGGAACAGGGACAGGGGGACAGGGACACAGGGACAGAGGGACAGGGACAGGGGACAGGGACAGACGGACACAGGGACAGAGGGACAGGGACAGATGTGTCCCAGGTGTATCCCAGATGTGTCCCCCACGTGTCCCCCAGGTGTCCCCAAATGTGTCCTTGATGTCCTCAGGTGTGTCCCAGCTGTCCCCAAGGTCCCACCAGGTGTCCCAGGTGCGTCCCAGGGTCCCCTCCCCACTCCAGGTGTGTCCCCAGGTGTCTCAGGTGTGTCCCCAAGTCCCACCAGATGTCCCCAAATGTCCCAGGTGTGTCCCAAATGTCCCCCAGGTGTCCCCTCCCCACTCCAGGTGTCCCCAGCTGCATCCCCAAGTGTGTCCTTGATGTCCTTAGGGGTGTCCCAGGTGTCCCCAGGGTTGTCCCAAGGTATCCCCAATGTCCCCAGGTTTGTCCCAGGTGTCCCCAAATTTGTCCCAGGTGTCCACAATGTGTCCCCCAGGTGTCCTTAGGGGTGTCCCAGGTGTCCCCCAGGTGTTCCCCAATGTCCCCAAAGTGTCCCCAGGTGTGTCCCAGCTGTTCCCAACATGTCCTTAGGGGTGTCCCAGGTGTGCCCCAGATGTCCCAGGTGTCCCCAGGTGTGTCCCAGGTGTCCCCAATGTCCCCCAAGGTGTCCCCAGGTGTGTCCCAAATGTCCCCAGGTGTCCCCAATGTGTCCTTAGGGGTGTCCCAGGTGTGTCCCCAAGTTTGTCCCAGCTGTCCCCAAGGTGTCCCCAGGTCTGTCCCAGGTGTCCCCAATGTCCCCCAGGTGTCTCCAACGTGTCCCCAAGGTGTCCCCCAGGTGTGTCCCAAATGTTCCCAAGTTTGTCCCAGGTGTCCCCAAGGTGTCCCCCAGGTGTCCTCAAGGGTCCCAGGTGTGTCCTTGATGTCCCCAGGTGTGTCCTTGATGTCCCCAGCTGTCCCCCAGGTGTCCCCAATGTGTCCTTAGGGGTGTCCCAGCTGTCCCCAGGTGTCCCCAAGGTGTCCCCAATGTCCCCAGGTGTGTCCCAGGTGTCCCCAAGGTGTCCCCAATGTCCCCAGGTGAGTCCCAGATGTCCCCCAGGTGTCCCCAACGTGTCCTTAGGGGTGTCCCAGCTGTCCCCAAGATGTCCCCAATGTCCCCAAGTTTGTCCCAGGTTTGTCCCAGGTGTCCCCAATGTCCCCCAAGGTGTCCCCAGGTGTGTCCCAAATGTCCCCAGGTGTCCCCCAGGTGTCCCCAACGTGTCCTTAGGGGTGTCCCCCACCTGTCCTTAGGGGTGTCCCAGCTGTCCCCAAGGTGTCCCCAGGTCTGTCCCAGGTGTCCCCAATGTCCCCCAGGTGTCTCCAACGTGTCCCCAAGGTGTCCCCCAGGTGTGTCCCAAATGTTCCCAAGTTTGTCCCAGGTGTCCCCAAGGTGTCCCCCAGGTGTCCCCAAGGGTCCCATGTGTGTCCCAAATGTCCCCAGGTGTGTCCTTGATATCCTCAGGTTTGTCCCAGCTGTCCCCCAGGTGTCCCCAGTGTCCCCAGGTGTGTCCCAGGTGTCCCCAAACTGTCCTTAGGGGTGTCCCAGGTGTCCCCAAGGGTCCCAGGTGTGTCCTTGATGTCCCCAGGTGTGTCCCAAATGTCCCCAGCTGTCCCCCAGGTGTCCCAAATGTCCCCAGGTGTCCCCAATGTTTCCTTAGGGGTGTCCCCAAGGTGTCCCCAATGTCCCCAGGTGTCCCCAAGGTGTCCTTAGGGGTGTCCCCAAGGGTCCCAGGTGAGTCCCAGATGTCCCCAATGTCCCCAAGTTTGTCCCAGGTGTCCCCAGCTGTCCCCAAGGTGTCCCCAAGGTATCCCCAATGTCCCCAAGGTGTCCCCAATGTTTCCTTAGGGGTGTCCCCGGTGTCCCCAAGGTGTCCCCAGGTGTCCCCAATGTCCCCAAGTTTGTCCCAGGTGTCCCCAGTGTCCCCAATGTCCCCAGGTGTCCCCAATGTCCCCACCTGGCCATGAGCAGCTTCACCTGCCCCACGGGTCCCTCCAGGGCCGGATCCAGGCAATCCCTGTGGGAAAAGACCCAAAATTCCCCAAAATTCCCAAATTCTGGGGCAAATCCAGAGAAAATTCCCAAATTTCAGGGCAAACCTACAGAAAATCCCTAAAAATTCCCAAATTTTGGGGCAAATCCAGAGAAAAATCACTAAAAATTCCCAATTTTTTGTTCTTTCTCCCCTTTCCAAACCCAAAAATTCCCATTTTTGGGGCATTTTTTGGGGTTTTCCATGGATTTTCCCCTTTCCAAACCCCAAAATTCCCCATTTTTTGTTCTTTTTACCCCTATTCAAACCCAAAATTCCCAATTTTTTCCCTATTCCAAACCCCAAAATTCCCAATTTTTAAAAAAATTTTTTGTTCTTTTCCCCCTTTCCAACCCCAAAATTCCCCAATTTTTTGTTCTTTTTTCCCATCCTATCCTAAAAATTCCCATTTTTTTTTTTTAATTTTTCTGGATTTTTTCCCCTTTCCAAACCCCAAAATTCCCCATTTTTTCTTCTTTTTTCCCCTTTCCAAACCCCAAAATTCCCGATTTCTTCCCCCTTTCCAACCCCAAAATTCCCAATTTTTTAAAAAATTTTTCTGGATTTTTTCCCCTTTCCAAACCCCAAAATTCCCAATTTTTTGTTCTTTTTTCCCCTTTCCAAACCCCAAAATTCCCAATTTTTTGTTCTTTTTTCCCCTTTCCAACCCCAAAATTCCCAATTTTTCCCCCTTTCCAACCCCAAAATTCCCAATTTTTTTTTAATTTTTCTGGATTTTTTCCCCTTTCCAACCCCCAAAATTCCCAATTTTTCCCCCTTTCCAACCCCAAAATTCCCAATTTTTTCCCCTTTCCAAACCCCAAAATTCCCAATTTTTTCCCATTCCCAACCCCAAAATTCCCAATTTTTTCCCATTTCCACCCCCAAAATTCCCAATTTTTTCCCCATTCCCACCCCCAAAATTCCCAATTTTGGTTCTTTTCCCTTTTCCACCCTGAATTTCCCCAATTTTGGGTTTTTTGCCCCCACTCCTCACCCTGGGGCTGGTTCCAGGCAGTTCCCGAGGGTCCCATCCTGGAGCAGCCTCTGCAGGAGCCTCTGCAGCTGCTCCGAGCCCTTCAGCGCTGGGGAAATAGCAAAAATATTCATTAATTAATTAAAAATCGGCCGGGATTAATTAATTACCAATTATCCATTAATTACTAATTCATCCTAGTGGGATTTAGGGGCATTTTCCTGATTAATTTTTACCAAATTTCCCGAATTTTGGAGGAATCAGGAACCCCCAGGACCCTTTTTGACCCCCCCAATAATTAACTAATAATTAATTATCAATTAATTGTTAATTAATTATTAATTAATCGCTAATTAATTCCATTTTTTCTCATTTTCCTGATTATTTCTTACCCGAATTTTGGAGGAATCAGGAACCCCCAGGAGCTTTTTCAATTCCTCCCCCCAATTAATTATCGATTAATTATTAATTAATCGTTAATTAATTCCATTTTTTCCCATTTTCCTGATTATTTCTTACCCGAATTTTGGAGGAATCAGGAACACCCAGGAGCTTTTTTGATTTTCCCCCAATTTATTAATTAATAATTAATTAATTATCAATTAATGGTTAATTAATCGTTAATTAGTTCCATTTTTTCTCATTTTCCCGATTATTTTTTACCCAAATTCACGAATTTTGGAGGAATCAGGAACCCCCAGGAGCTTTTTAAATTCCTCCCCCAATTAATTAGTGATTAATCGTTAATTAATTATTAATTAACCGTTAATTAATTCCATTTTTTCTCATTTTCCGAATTATTTTTTACCCAAATTCCCCAATTTTGGAGGAATCAGGAACCCCCAGCAGCTTTTTAAATTTTCCCTCCCAATTAATTATTGATTAATTATCAATTAATTGACAATTCCTCATTAATTAATTCAATTTTTTCTCATTTTCCCGATTAATTTTACCCAAATTCCCGAAATTTGGAGGAATCAGGAACCCCCAGGAGCTTTTCTGATTCCCCCAATAATTAATTAATAACTAATTATCAATTAATTGTTAATTAATTATTAATTAATTGCTAATTAATTCAATTTTTTCTCATTTTCCCAATTATTTTTTACCCGAATTTTGGAGGAATCAGGAACCCCCAGGAGCTTTTCTGATTTCCCCCCAGTTAATTATTGATTAATTATTAATTAATTGCTAATTAATTCCATTTTTTCCTCATGTTCCTGATTAATTTTTACCCAAATTCCCCAATTTTGGAAGAATCAGGAACCCCCGGGAGCTTTTTTGATTCCTCCCCCAAATTAATTATTAATTAATTATCAATTAATGGTTAATTAATTGCTAATTAATTCCATTTTTTCTCATTTTCCTGATTAATTTTTTACCCAAATTCCCGAAGTTTGGAGGAATCAGGAACCCCCAGGAGCCTTTTTTGATTCCCCCCAATAATTAAGTATAAATTAATTAATAATAATTAACCATCAATTAATTAATAATAATTAATGATCGATTAATTATTCCTGAATTTTGCTGTTTTTTCCCCCCAAATCCCCAATTTTGGAGCTTTTCCCCCATTTTGGGCGTTGGAAATTTGGGGATTTTGGGGGGAAAATGGGAAATTTTGGGGATTTTGGGGGGAAAATGGGAAATTTGGGGATTTTGGGGGGGAAAATGGGAAATTTGGGGATTTTGGGGGGAAAATGGGAAATTTGGGGATTTTGGGTCCAATTTTGGGTCCCAACCTTGGGCAGAGAAAAGCTCGGGGTCGAATCCAGGGGAGCCCCGCAGGTCCTGCTGCAGCTGCCGGGCACAGAACTGGGGAAAAATGGGGAAAAACGTCAGGAAATGGGAAAAATGGAACTAAAAATGGGGAAAAACGTCAGGAAATGGGAAAAATGGAACTAAAAATGGGGAAAAATGGAACTAAAAATGGGGAAAAAGGTCAGGAAATGGGAAAAATGGAACTAAAAATGGGGAAAAAGGTCAGGAAATGGGAAAAATGGAACTAAAAATGGGGAAAAAGGTCAGGAAATGGGGAAAATGGAACTAAAAATGGGGAAAAACGGGGGAAAAAACGTCAGGAAATGGGAAAAATGGAACTAAAAATGGGGAAAAACGTCAGGAAATGGGAAAAATGGAACTAAAAATGGGGAAAAATGGAACTAAAAATGGGGAAAAACGTCAGGAAATGGGAAAAATGGAACTAAAAATGGGGAAAATCCAAACAGAACTGGGGAAAAATGGGGGAAAACGTCAGGAAATGGGGAAAATGGAACTAAAAATGGGGGAAAAACGTCAGGAAATGGGAAAAATCCAAACAGAAATGGGGGAAAAACGGGGGAAAAACGTCAGGAAATGGGAAAAATGGAACTAAAAATGGGGAAAATCTAAACAAAAATGGGGAAAATCTGTCAGGAAATGGGGAAAAATGTCAGGAAATGGGGAAAATCTGTCAGGAAATGGGGAAAAATGTCAGGAAATGGGGAAAATGGAACTAAAAATGGGGAAAATCTAAACAAAAATGGGGAAAAATGGAACTAAAAATGGGGAAAATCTAAACCAAAATGGGGAAAAACGTCAGGAAATGGGGAAAATGGAACTAAAAATGGGGAAAATCTAAACAAAAATGGGGAAAAATGGAACTAAAAATGGGGAAAAATGGAACTAAAAATGGGGAAATCTGTCAGGAAATGGGAAAAATGGAACTAAAAATGCGGAAAAATGGGGAAAAAAGGTCAGGAAATGGGAAAAATGGAACTAAAAATGGGGAAAAAGGTCAGGAAATGGGGAAAATGGAACTAAAAATGGGGAAAAAGGTCAGGAAATGGGAAAAATGGAACTAAAAATGGGGAAAATCTAAACAAAAATGGGGAAAAACGTCAGGAAATGGGGAAAATCCATCAGAAAATGGGGGAAAAACGTCAGGAAATGGGGAAAATGGAACTAAAAATGGGGAAAATCCATCAAAAATGGGGAAAAACGTCAGGAAATGGGAAAAATGGAACTAAAAATGGGGAAAATCCATCAAAAATGGGGAAAAAACGTCAGGAAATGGGAAAAATGGAACTAAAAATGGGGAAAATGGAACTAAAAATGGGGAAAAAACGTCAGGAAATGGGAAAAATGGAACTAAAAATGGGGAAAAATGGGGAAAAAGGTCAGGAAATGGGAAAAATGGAACTAAAAATGGGGAAAATCCAAACAGAACTGGGGAAAAATGGGGAAAAACATCAGGAAATGGGAAAAATGGAACTAAAAATGGGGAAAAACGTCAGGAAATGGGAAAAATGGAACTAAAAATGGGGAAAAACGTCAGGAAATGGGAAAAATCCAAACAGAAATGGGGAAAAATGGGGGAAAACGTCAGAAAATGGGAAAAATGGAACTAAAAATGGGGAAAAAGTCAGAAAATGGGGAAAATGCAAACAAAAATGGGGGAAATCTGTCAGGAAATGGGAAAAATCTGTCAGGAAATGGGGGAAAACAGCAGAAAATGGGGAAATCTGTCAGAAAATGGGGGGAAAAACGTCAGGAAATGGGGAAATGGAACCAAAAATGGGGAAAATCCATCAGAAATGGGGGGAAATAGAGAAAATCCGTCAGGAAATGGGGAAAATGCATCAAAAATGGGGAAAATGGGGGAAATCCGTCAGGAAATGGGAAAAATCCAATCATAAATGGGGAAAATCCATCCAAAATGGGGAAAATCCAAACAAAAATGGGGAAAATCCATCAGGAAATGGGGAAAATCCATAAAAAATGGGGAAAAAATGGGAATTATTCAACAAAAAAATGGGAAAAAAGGGAAAAGTGGGAAAAATGGGGAAAATGGGAATTAGGCAATGAAAAATTGGAAATATCCAAGAAAAAATGGGGAAAATCCAAGCAAAAATGGGAAAAAAATGGGGGGAAATGGGAAAAATCCAACAAAAAATGGGGAAAATCCAAGCAAAAATGGGAAATATTCATCAAAATAATGGGGAAAATCCAACCAAAAATGGGGAAATTGGCTTTGATGCCGATTTTCTGGGGGTTCCAATAAAGATTTGGAGCCTAAATTCCATTTTTTGTGTGTTTGAGGAGGCGGGGAAAGGATTCCAAGGGGATTTGGGAGGAAAATTCCGGAATTTGGGGTGAATTCCAGGATTTTTGGGTGAATTTCTGGAATTTTGGGATTTTTTTTGGGGGGGTGAATTTCAGGATTTGGGGTGAATTTCAGGATTTGGGGTGAATTTCAGGATTTTGGGGTGAATTTCAGGATTTGGGGTGAATTCCAGGATTTTGGGGTGAATTTCAGGATTTTTGACTGAATTTCTGGAATTTTGGGATTTTTTGGGGGGTGAATTTCAGGATTTTGGGGTGAATTTACCTGGAAGCTGGAGAGGAGGAGGAGGGAGAGGCGCTGAACTTCGGGGAGCTCCAGGCTGATGGATTGGCTCAAGTCTGGCACAAAAAGGGTTAAAAATGGCGACCACCCCCCCCAAGAGAGAGTGGATTTTGATGCAAAGCGCCCTAATTAAGGGTGTTAATGAGGTTAATGAGGTTAATGAGGCCTCACCGGTGACCTCGCGGTGCACGGGGGGCAGCGAGCGGCGCCGGGAGCGGCGCCCCTGGAGGCTGGAGCGGCGCCAGGAGCGGCGGCGGCGCTGAGGGGAGGAGGCGGCGGGAACCGGCGACAAACGGAGCGAATGCGGCTCCTGCCCGGGGCTGAACGGGGAGCTCGGGGCGCCCTTTCCGCTGGGAGGTTTTAAAATCACCTCAGAGGCCCCGCCTGAGGGGAAAAGAGGAGAAATGGAAAGGTTAATAGTGAGAAAATGGTTATAAAAATGCTCCTCAGCAGCCGCTGCCGAGCCCGCGCCTGAGGGGAAGCCGAGTCTGGGTCTGAGGGGAAAAGAGGAGAAATCGGCAACAAAAAAGGGAAAAAGAGAATTTTGGACTTTCGGTTTCTGAATCCATGAGAGGAAATGATTGTGAAAAACGCCAAGCCCTTTTTTTCCTAAATTTTGAAAGTTTAATAGTAAGAAAATGGTTATAAAAATGTTCCTCAGCAGCCGCTGCCGAGGCCGCGCCTGAGGGGAAAAGAGACTCGGTGAGGCCCAGGCTGCTCTCCCCGCTCGGAGTTTCTTGATTCCATGAGAGGGTGAAAAACAGCAAAAGCTTGATTTTCAAAGTATTAAACGCTCGGGCTTTAAAAGTAATAGAACGGTTAAAAGTATTCTGGTTAAATGGTTAAAAGTTTTAAACGCCGGCCCTGAGGGGAGGCGGCGGGAACCGGCGACAAACGGAGCGAATGCGGCTCCTGCCCGGGGCTGAACGGGGAGCTCGGGGCGCCCTTTCCGCTGGGAGCTTTGAAAATCGCCTCAGAGGCCGCGCCTGAGGGGAAAAGAGGAGAAATTGAAAGGTTAATAGGGAGAAAATGGTTATAAAAATGCTCCTCAGCAGCCGCTGCCGAGGCCGCGCCTGAGGGGAAGCCGAGTCTGGGTCTGAGGGGAAAAGAGGAGAAATCAGCAAAAAAAAAAAAGGGAAAAAGAGAATTTTGGACTTTCGGTTTCTGAATCCATGAGAGGAAATGATTGTGGAAAACGCCAAGGACTTTTATTTCTAAATTTTGAAAGTTTAACAGTAAGAAAATGGTTATAAAAATGCTCCTCAGCAGCCGCTGCCGAGCCCGCGCCTGAGGGGAAGCCGAGTGTGGGTCTGAGGGGAAAAGAGGAGAAATCGGCAAAAAAAAGGGAAAAAGAGAATTTTGGACTTTCGGTTTCTGAATCCATGAGAGGAGATGATTGTGAAAAACGCCAAGCATTTTTTTTCCTAAATTTCGAAAGTTTAATAGTAAAGAAATGGTTATAAAAATGTTCCTCAGCAGCCGCTGCCGAGCCCGCGCCTGAGGGGAAGCCGAGTCTGGGTCTGAGGGGAAAAGAGGAGAAATCGGCAAAAAAAAGGGAAAAAGAGAATTTTGGACTTTCGGTTTCTGAATCCATGAGAGGAGATGATTGTGGAAAACGCCAAGCCCTTTTTTTCCTAAATTTTGAAAGTTTAATAGTAAGAAAATGGTTATAAAAATGCTCCTCAGCAGCCGCTGCCGAGCCCGCGCCTGAGGGGAAGCCGAGTTTGGGTCTGAGGGGAAAAGAGGAGAAATCGGCAAAAAAAAGGGAAAAAGAGAATTTTGGACTTTCGGTTTCTGAATCCATGAGAGGAAATGATTGTGAAAAACGCCAAGCCCTTTTTTTCCTAAATTTCGAAAGTTTAATAGTAAAGAAATGGTTATAAAAATGCTCCTCAGCAGCCGCTGCCGAGCCCGCGCCTGAGGGGAAGCCGAGTCTGGGTCTGAGGGGAAAAGAGGAGAAATCAGCAAAAAAAAAAAAGGAAAAAGAGAATTTTGGACTTTCGGTTTCTGAATCCATGAGAGGAGATGATTGTGGAAAACGCCAAGCCCTTTTTTTCCTAAATTTTGAAAGTTTAATAGTAAGAAAATGGTTATAAAAATGTTCCTCAGCAGCCGCTGCCTGAGGGGAAAAGAGACTCGGTGAGGCCCGGGCTGCTCTCCCCGCTCGGAGTTTCTTGATTCCATGAGAGGGTGAAAACCAGCAAACGCCTGTTTTTCAAAGTATTAAACGCTTGGGCTTTAAAAGTAATAAAACGGCTAAAAGTATTCTGGTTTAATGGTTAAAAGTTTTAAACGCCGGTCCTGCCCGGGGCTGAACGGGGAGCTCGGGGCGCCCTTTCCGCTGGGAGCTTTGAAAATCGCCTCAGAGGCCGCGCCTGAGGGGAAAAGAGGAGAAATTGAAAGGTTAATAGGGAGAAAATGGTTATAAAAATGCTCCTTGCAGCCGCTGCCGAGCCCGCGCCTGAGGGGAAGCCGAGTCTGGGTCTGAGGGGAAAAGAGGAGAAATCAGCAACAAAAAAGGGAAAAAGAGAATTTTCGACTTTCGGTTTCTGAATCCATGAGAGGAGATGATTGTGGAAAACGCCAAGCACTTTTTTCCCTAAATTTTGAAAGTTTAATAGTAAGAAAATGATTATAAAAATGCTCCACAGCAGCCGCTGCCGAGCCCGCGCCTGAGGGGAAAAGAGACTCGGTGAGGCCCGGGCTGCTCTCCCCGCTCGGAGTTTCTTGATTCCATGAGAGGGTGAAAACCAGCAAACGCTTGTTTTTCAAAGTATTAAACGCTCGGGCTTTAAAAGTAATAAAACGGCTAAAAGTATTCTGGTTTAATGGTTGAAAGTGTTAAACGCCGGCCCTGAGGGGAGGAGGCGGGAACCGGCGACAAACGGAGCGAATGCGGCTCCTGGCCGGGGCTGAACGGGGAGCTCGGGGCGCCCTTTCCGCTGGGAGCTTGGAAAATCGCCTCAGAGGCCGCGCCTGAGGGGAAAAGAGGAGAAATTGAAAGGTTAATAGTGAGAAAATGGTTATAAAAATGCTCCTCAGCAGCCGCTGCCGAGCCCGCGCCTGAGGGGAAGCCGAGTCTGGGTCTGAGGGGAAAAGAGGAGAAATCGGCAAAAAAAAGGGAAAAAGAGAATTTTGGACTTTTGGTTTCTGAATCCATGAGAGGAGATGATTGTGGAAAACGCCAAGCCCTTTTTTTCCTAAATTTTGAAAGTTTAATAGTAAGAAAATGGTTATAAAAATACTCCTCAGCAGCCGCTGCCCAGCCCGCGCCTGAGGGGAAAAGAGACTCGGTGAGGCCCGGGCTGCTCTCCCCGCTCGGAGTTTCTTGATTCCATGAGAGGGTGAAAACCAGCAAACGCTTGTTTTTCAAAGTATTAAACGCTTGGGCTTTCAAAGTAATAAAACGGCTAAAAGTATTCTGGTTAAATGGTTAAAAGTTTTACAAGCCGGCCCTGAGGGGAGGAGGCGGGAACCGGCGACAAACGGAGCGAATGCGGCTCCTGCCCGGGGCTGAACGGGGAGCTCGGGGCGCCCTTTCCGCTGGGAGGTTTGAAAATCACCTCAGAGGCTGAGTGGAAAAGAGGAGAAATCGGCAAAAAAAAAAGAGGGAAAAAGAGAATTTTGGACTTTCGGTGATGCCCGAGCTGCGCTGCCTGCTCGGGGTTTCTGAATCCATGAGAGGAAATGATTGTGGAAAACGCCAAGCCCTTTTTTTCCTAAATTTTGAAAGTTTAATAGTAAGAAAATGGTTATAAAAATGCTCCTCAGCAGCCGCTGCCGAGTCTGGGTCTGAGGGGAAAAGAGGAGAAATCAGCAAAAAAAAATTGGCAAAAGAGACTCGGTGATACCCAGGCTGCTCGGGATTTCTTGATCCATGAGAGGGTGAAAAACCCCAATCACTTGCTTTTAAAATTTTTAAAGTTTAATAGTAATAAAATGATTTTAAAATCCCTTCAGTGTCCGCTGCCGAGTTTGGGTCTGAGGGGAAAAGAGGAGAAATCAGCGCAAAAAAGGGGAAAAGAGACTCGGTGATACCCGGGCTGCGCTGCCCGCTCGGGATTTCTTGATCCATGAGAGGAAATATTTGAGAAAAACTTGTTTTTAAAATATTAGAAGTTTAATAGTAATAAAACGGTTATAACATGCTCCTCAGCAGCCGCTGCCGAGTCTGGGTCTGAGGGGAAAAGAGGAGAAATCAGCAAAAAAAAAGGGAAAAAGAGACTCGGTGATCCCCGGGCTGCTCCGGGTTTCTTGATCCTTCAGAGGGTGAAAAACCCCAATCACTTGGTTTTAAATTTTTTAAAGTTTAATAGTAATAAAGTGATTTTAAAATCCCCTCAGCGTCCGCTGCCGAGTTTGGGTCTGAGGGGAAAAGAGGAGAAATCAGCGCAAAAAAGGGGAAAAGAGACTCGGGGATACCCGGGCTGCGCTGCCCGCTCGGGGTTTCTTGATTCATGAGAGAATATGGTTTTATCAAGGATTTCAGAGCGCTGAACGTGGCTTTTGTAGTTTTATTTATAAGCGAGAGTTCAGTCAAATCCTGGAGGTTTTGGGATTTCTCGGGAACATCCTGAAATTTACCCAACAATTCTGGGATTTTTTGGGGACTTCCAGAGCCTTAAAATCCCAAAGTTGCCCCAAAATCCTGGAATTTTCAAGGCTGGAGAAAGTCCAAAATTCCACCAAATCCAACTCCCAAGCCCCAGAATCACCCAAACCAGCTCCTCCCAGCACACAGAGCTGCGATTTCTCTCCCTGCCCTTACCTGGCGCGACTCCTCCGCTCTCAGGGCTGGCTCCGCCGGGGCATCCCTGAGGGGAGAAACCATTACCAGCCTGAAACCGCGGCCACCCCGCGGCTCCCGCGGCCGGGCCGTGTCCTTCCGGCGCTCACCTCATCCTCCTGTGGCCCGGCCGAACCCCGCGGGGACGGGGCCGCGGCCGGACCGGGGGAGCCGCCGGCTCCCGCCGCAGCCTCCGCCATGGCGGTTTCCCGCCACTCGCTTGCCCTCAGCGCTTGCGCATGCGCGGAGCCCGCTCCGGCTTCGCCGCCATCACGGAGCAGGCGCGGGCGGTGCCTGCCCTCACAGCGGGCGCAGAGTCCGCTCCCCCTTCCCGCCCCTCACCATCTTCCCGCCCCTCACAATCTTCCCGCCATTTTCCCACCCCCACGGTGTTTCCACCATTCTCCCACCCCTCACACTCTTCCCACCCTTTCCCCCCCCACACCTTTCCCGCCCTTTTCTAACCCCTCACAATCTTCCTGCCCTTTTCCTGCCTCTCACAGCTTTCCTGCCAGTTTCCCACCCCTCACGTCCTTCCCTCCATTTTCCCACCCCTCACGTCCTTCCCGCCCTTTTCCCACCCCCCACGATCTTCCCGACCTTTTCCCACCCCCAGTGTTTCCACCATTCTCCCACCCCTCACACTCTTCCCACCCTTTCCCCCCCCACGCCTTTCCCGCCCTTTTCTAACCCCTCACAATCTTCCTGCCCTTTTCCTACCCCTCATGATCCTCCTGCCCTTTTCCTGCCTCTCACAGTGTTCCTGCCAGTTTCCCACCCCTCACACTCCTTCTGCCATTTTCCCACCCCTCACGTCCTTTCCGCCATTTTCCCACCCCTCACGTCCTTTCCGCCATTTTCCCACCCCTCACGTCCTTCCCTCCATTTTCCCACCCCTCACATCCTTCCCTCCATTTTCCCACCCCTCATGTCCTTTCCGCCATTTTCCCACCCCTCACGTCCTTCCCTCCATTTTCCCACCCCTCATGTCCTTCCCACCATTTTCCCACCCCTCACACTCTTCCCACCATTCTCCCACCCCTCACGCTCTTCCCGCCATTTTCCCACCCCTCACACTCCTTCCGCCATTTTCCACACCTCACGTCCTTCCCGCCATTTTCCCACCCCTCACATCCTTCCCGCCATTTTCCCACCCCTCACACTCCTTCCGCCATTTTCCCACCCCTCACGTCCTTCCCTCCATTTTCCCACCCCTCACGCTCTTCCTGCCATTTTCCCACCCCTCATGTCCTTCCCTTCATTTTCCCACCCCTCACACTCTTCCCACCATTTTCCCACCCCTCACACTCCTTCCACCATTTTCCCACCCCTCACACTCCTTCCGCCATTTTCCCACCCCTCACACTCCTTCCACCATTTTCCCACCCCTCACGTCCTTCCCTCCATTTTCCCACCCCTCACGTCCTTTCCGCCATTTTCCCACCCCTCACACTCCTTCTGCCATTTTCCCACCCCTCACGTCCTTTCCGCCATTTTCCCACCCCTCACATCCTTCCCGCCATTTTCCCACCCCTCACATCCTTCCCTCCATTTTCCCACCCCTCACGTTCTTCCCTCCATTTTCCCACCCCTCACGTTCTTCCCTCTATTTTCCCACCCCTCACATCCTTCCCGCCATTTTCCCACTCCTCACGTCCTTCCCTCCATTTTCCCACCCCTCATGTCCTTCCCTCCATTTTCCCACCCCTCACGAACATCGCGCCCACAGAGCCCAAACCTGAGAGAAAAAAAAATCAGGAGAAAATGGGAAAAAAAAGGAAAAAAAAAAAGGCTTTGGAAATTTATTTTCTTGGATGAAATCTCACCTGAAAGGGGCGGACTCTGAGAGCAGCACCAGAACGGCACAAACCCCCTCGAATTCCCATAGGGAAATCCCGTGGTTTGGCCGTTTTGTGGTAAATTTGGGGTTTTAATTTTATTTTTGCACTTTTTCCATCAGAAAAAGTGATGCTGTGGAATTTCCCAATCTGAAATCCCTTGGAATGACACCAGTGGAAGGTCCGGCCTGCGAGCAATGTCCAGTGAGAAGTTTGGTGAAGCGACTTTTCCATTAATTGGCTCAATTAATTAAGAAAAATTTCTTATAGAATTCTCTCTAGAATTTCCTACAGAAATTCCCTGTAGAAAATTCCAATACAGAGAACATCCAATTACAATAGGAGGGGTTTAACTCACCTAGAACCAAAATCCCAGCGTAAAAAACCAGACAAAAAATAAAATAAATCCATTTTTTTCCACTGTAAAACTGGAGAAAAACGCCAAGACTTTTGTTTTTCCCCTTCTTCTTCAGGTTCTTTGTGTAAAATCCAAAGTTTTTCCTTAAAAACATGGAATTTTCTGAGGCGAAGTGAAGTTATAAATAATTGAGAGGTAGAGGTGTGGCTGCCATCACAATCTATTGGCTCGTTCTGAGGTAATTCATTAATTGGAAGTCAATCATTCTATCGGCCCGGGATTAATTAGCGTTAATTGACCTCTGTCCTCTCTCAAAAAGGTCCTTGAATTAAAAATTAAAGAAGTTTGAATTCTTTAATTGGAGGCGTCGCTGCCCGGGTCGGTGATGGACGAGGGGGTGGCGGCGTCCGGCCAGCTGCCATTGGCCTGAGGGGAAAACAGATTTAATTAATGCAATTAATTCATAATTAAAGAATTAATGCAGCCATTTTGAATTAATAAAGACTAAAAGAAATATTCATAATGATAAATAAATAAAATCATAATATTTTAGAATCTTATGATTATATAACATTAAATTGTAATATATAACATACCATATATAACATATAATATACCACATATAATATACCACATATAATATACCATATATAATATACCATATATAATATATAATATATATTACATATACTATGTAAAATATAATACTTAATATTTAAATCTCATAAAATTTATATAATAATTTGTATGCAAATATAATTTATCTATATTATAATTATATATTAAATAGCAAATAATATTAAATATGCTAAAAACTTTAAAGATTTTCCAGCTTTTCCCCCCATCCCAACACCGGCTATATTGGAAGAAAGAAAAAAAATCAAAATAAAAAATGATATAAAATTGAAATTAATTTAAAATTTAAAAAAATAAATTTAAAAAAAAGGAATTTATTGAGAATATTTAGGACTGAAATCCCCACTGACCTCGAGGGGCTGCGTGGAGAACAAAGAACGGCCCAGGAGGGGCTCCAGGCTCCCCGGCTGCTGCAGGAAACCCACCTGGAAATGGGGCAAAAATGGGCAAAAATGGACAAAAATGGGCAAAAATGGGCAAAAATGGGCAAAAAGCTCTGAAATGGGAATGGCCCAGTCAGAGTTTGCATGGCAGTAAAGGATTGGAGAATTGGGGAAGAAATAAAGGGAATTTGAATGGGAATTTGATGTGAAAATTGGGGATTTGTGGGTTAAATAATGGGAATTTGAATGGGAATTTCAAGTGAAAATAGGGGAATTATGGGGTTAATAATGAGGATTTTAGTGGGAATTTTAATGGGAATTGAGTGGGAATTTTTTCCCATTTTTCCTCATTTTCAGTGCAGAAATTTGGATTTTTTCCCATTTTCCCCATTTTTCCTCATTTTCCATAACAGAAATTTGGATTTTTTCCCCATTTCCAATAACAGAAATTTGGATTTTTTCCCATTTTTTCCTCATTTTCAGTGCAGAAATTTGGATTTTTTCCCATTTTTCCCCATTTCCTCACCTGCACACTGGGAGGGCTCTGGAAGGGGCCCAGGGGCTCCAGGCTCAGGAAAGGATCCCCAGAATTCTTCATCTTCAGGGACCCCGAGGAGGCTGAGAAACACCAAAAATGGACCCAAAATGACCCCAATTAAACCAGAACAGCAGCTCATTATTAGCCCGGGGTTAATTGGGGTTTGGCCCCGCCCATCTGAGCAGGGGGAGGAGCCCTGGGAGCCCAAATGAACCCAAATAAATCAAAATAAACCCAAAAAAACTGAAATAAACCAAAAATAAACCCCAAAATAACTGAAATTAAAGAGCAATAGCAGCTCATTAATTAACCCAGTGTTAATTAAGCTTTAGCCCCGCCCACCTGAGCCGAGGTAGGAAAGGGAGGAGGAGCCCTGGGAGCCCAAATGAACCCAAATAAATCAAAATTTATCCAAAAAAACCCCACAAAAAGCCCAAAATAAGGAGCAATCCCAACTCCCCATTGCTTCCCAGCAGCTCATTAATTAACCCAGTGTTAATTGGGGTTTGGCCCCGCCCACCTGAGCAGGGGGAGGAAAGGGAGGAGGAGCCCTGGGAGCCAAAAGGAACCCAAATAAACCCAAAATAAACCCAAAATAACTGAAATTAAAGAGCAATAGCAGCTCATTAATTATCTCTGGGTTAATTGGGGTTTGGCCCCGCCCACCTGAGCAGGGGGAGGAGCCCTGGGAGCCAAAATGAACCAAAAAACTCCAAAAAAAACCCCAAATAAACTCCCAAAGCAACCAGAA